TCTGTTGTCGTCTGTCGTCTGTCGTCGTAAACTATTTCAAAAATCTTCTCTGAAACTACTGGGCCAAATACCTTCAAACTTTAACTAAATGTTCCTTAGGGTATCTAGTTTATAAATTGTATCCGAAGTTTTGATCCATCAACAAACATGGCCGCCATGGCTACGAATAGAACATAGGGGTCAAATGCAGTTTTTGGCTTATATCTCAAAAACTAAAGCTTTAGAGCAAATCTGACATGGGATAAAATTGTTCAATTGGTCAAGATCTATCAGCTCTGAAATTTTCAGACGAATCAAACAACCCATTGTTGGGTTGCTGCCACCGAATTGGTAGTTTTAACAAAATTTTGCAGTTTTTTTGTTATTATTTTGAATATCATTATTGATATAGATAAACTGTAAGCAGCAATAATGTTCAGCAAAGTAAGATCTACAAAAAAGTTAATATGACCAAAATTGTCAATTGACCCCTTAAGGAGTTATTGCCCTTTAAAGACAATTTTACACAATTTGTTCATCAAGTTTGCTAACATTTAAAAATCTTCTCCTCTGAAACTACTGGACCAAATACCTTCAAACTTTAACTAAATGTTCCTTAGGGTATCTAGTTTATAAATTGTATCCGAACTTTGTATCCATCGACAAACATGGCCGCCATGGCTAAAAATAGAACATAGGGGTCAAATGCAGTTTTTGGCTTATATCTCAAAAACTAAATCTTTTAGAGCAAATGTGACATGGGGTAAAATTGTTTAATTGGTCAAGATCTATTGGCCCTGAAATTATCAGACGAATCGAACAACCCATTGTTGGGTTGCTGCCACCGAATTGGTAGTTTTATCAAAATTTTGCAGGTGTTATTATTTTGAATATTATTATAGATATATATAAACTGTAAGCAGCAATAATGTTCAGCAAAGTAAGATCTACAAAAAAGTTAATATGACCAAAATTGTCAATTGACCCCTTAAGGAGTTATTGCCCTTTAAAGACAATTTTACACAATTTGTTAAACAAGTTTGCTAACATTTAAAAATCTTCTCCTCTGAAATACAGGTGAGCGATTCAGGCTCTTGAGAGCCCCTTGTTTTATCTTTTTATGCCCTGCCACCAAGTAAAGTTAATAGATATTTCAATGGGTAATAATTTTGCATTATTAAATGACTTCATGTTTTGCCTAACACAGAAATATACATTTTGTCATAGAAACGATGAAAAGACTTTGCTAGACAAAATCAAGTCATACTGATAACAGCAAATATAATCTTTAAATGATAAAGAGATAAATATCAAAGGGATACACACTAGATTGAAATTGTGAAACTACCTACCCTAGGGGGTGTGAATCCGATGTGGATATTAAAAATTTTAAAAGATCTGTCAGAATACATAAGTTTAAACGTCTCCTCTTGTAATAGTATTATAACATTTGACTTTTCCTCCTTTTACACTAGTATTTTCCACCCCAAACAAAAAGACAAATTGAACTAATATGCCCTACTTTGATTCATAAAAAGAATGACCAACGTAGATACAAGTATCTTGTCTTAGGGAGGGATAAAGTCGTCTATATTGGACGCATCTGTATAAACTCGCAATATGATAGATATCAGGATTAAATTTTGTAAGCCAAACGCACTTTTCGTCTACAAAAGACTCATCACTGAAGCTCTAATAAAAAAAAGTTAAAAAGGCCGAACAAAAATACGAAGCTGAAGAGCATTGAGAACCCAAAATTCCTAAAAGTTTAACCAAATAGAGCTAAGGTAATCTATTCCTGAGGTAGAAAAACTTTAGTATTTCGAAAATTCAAAGTTTTGTAAACCGTTAATATCAATATATATAGAAAATGGTGGGTTAAACCTGGTTTTATAGATAAACTCAATCTCCCACTTGAATGACAGTTGTTTATAGTTCCGTTATATTGACAAAATTAGGTGAGCAACCCAAACAGACATAATAGGTTAATGTGACAATAATTGGGATCCAGCAGCAAAACGAGCTTTTACAGAATTATATACAAATTACCTCGGATCAGCCCTCGGATCAGCCCGCTTTATATAGAACAGTATCTGATTACCCGTGCGGAGCACACAAGATCAACCACGGGGGATTCGTGTTTCTCACTCTTCTTCAGTTTTCTATGTTGTGTATTGTAGACTATTTTTTTTTTGTGCTTTGCCTGGTATATTTTATTTTTTTGCAATGACGTTGTCAGTTAGTCTCGACTTATGAGTTTAAATATCCCTTCGGTATCTTCTGCATCTCTCTTTACGAAAGTAGAAATACCAGAATCTCCCTTGTGCAGAATCAATCTACAAGGAAAACACCACTACAATGGAAGCAGGTACAGACTATCTGACTCTACAGCTAATAATATTTACTTACTAAGGACCACTGGACAAAAAAAAACATCCAGGAAAGATTTATCGAAGGCTATTCATTCATGTATCAAACGATTTCAACTACCGAATACTCTACTGGCGATCATGCTTAACATAGACACTAATTCCTGTCTCTGCGATGGTGATGGTAATCGCCGAACAGCTTGTACTATTTCCAACCACAGAAAACAACATGATTTATCTAAGGATAACAACACTACTAAAATTTTATAAATAAAGAAATTATAAAGAAACTAAGGGTTCACCTCCCTCAGGCAAAGTTGACAATTGATGGATTTGGCTATTTCTTTAGGTCCTTTTTGGTCCTATAGCTCTTCGATTGTTTTTGCTCTTGTACATCTTTGGCTTTCAAATATTCGACTTAGGGGCGATCCTAATGAAGGTTGATCAATGAAAGTGCTTCGGACACATGAAATGTATGAAGAGACCACAGTGAGATGTGGGAGGACAATACAAATTTCACCTGTGAGAAATATTTCAATGTTCATCAACACAATAGATATGTGGAGAAAAACTGAAAAGTGACCAAAACCTTTATCTTGAATACATGGAAAGAACCTGCTAAAGAAAACATCAATAAGTAAACAGTTACTACTATGAATTAATCTGGTACAGCATTTCCAAAAAATCCAAATTCTCAAAACACCTCCCGGAAAATTCATGGCTACGAAACTCAGCTTGTAAATTTCATTCATTGGGCAAATGTCTACGACAACCGGGAACAAGAAGACATTTTTTTTTTAGATTTCGAAAAGGCATTTGACACGGTGAAACATGAACTACTGAAAAGCAAACCCCTGAAACACCATGAATATGATTGACTCATTTCAGTCCTACAGGTCACAATGCGAAGTTCGAAATGGAATTGAATTTGGCGATTTGGGTTGTTATAACGACATTCGGGACTTATTCGAGCCGAGCATGGTATGTGACTGTCGTCAAATATATTAACCTGACAACTTAGAAAACGGTCAGAAAAGAACACGATTCAACTACAGTTACGAGCAAGGGATTATGACTTCAAATATACAAGCTAGAACCTCTGGAAGATAATCTCTGAAAATACAAACTGATTTTATTTTGCAAAGGCATATACCATCTAGCTAAAATACCAACTATTCTTTAAGGACCACAAAGAACATGCATAGCCATCACTTTTTCAGAATTCCAACCAAGACGGACACTTGGAAATAAATCTTCCTACCAAATACGATTAAAAATTGAAATATTATTCCTCCGGATATTACCAACTAAATGCAATTCACGGAATAACCAGCTAGCTTGACATCATATACTCTCAAGATCAAGACCACGAATGCATATGGTGTTAGCACGAATGTTTGACCAAATGTATCATAAAATAGGTATGTACCCTAACACATCTTATAAAATATCTCGAATTAAATTTATGGACACAAGTCTTCCAAGTGCTCACGAAACTACTCAAATCATTATACCATCACGACTGCTGTATCGAGTGATCAAGCCATAAAGGTTGTCACCTTTTATTTTAATGTAGTGAACAAAATTAATTTATATTCAAAGCTGTGCAAAACTTTATTATGCTCGATTTACATCCACAATCTAATAATTCTATACACTCCTCCCATTTAAAGAAATATTGCCCCTTTCTTTAATAACACTTTTCTGAACACCTTCACCCCTTCCCTTTGCTGTTTTATATATAACATTTAAAATGAACTATTGTATTCATTGGCTGTATTTTGTTACATACATATTCGTTTACTATTCAGCATGTGAACATAGTTTCGTAATTTTATTTTTGAATTTAGGAAGACGGATGTATATAAGAGCACCGCTATTGCTTCCTTATACCAATTATTGAAATACTTGTATATTTCGTATTTATTTACTCTTATAGCTATACATAACGATTTCTTTAATAACACATGTTTACACTAGTGACTCTATCAGGTTTGTCTGATGCAAATTACTTAGCCTTTCACAGGTTAAGTACAAACTGCCAACACTAAGTAAAAACTTAATATTATTTGTTAAATATTATTTATTTCAATGCCTATTTTCACAGGTGTAGTATTGACTCATATGTATGATGTTAATAGGTAACCTTGTTTGTCTGTTTATTTGTATGACCATGGTAATATCTGTCCTTAGATTTTCTTTCCTCATCCTCGTAGTTATTTAATATTTTCAGAAGTAAATATAACTATACTTTATAGTCACACAAAGGGATAACTTTCATCATATTGCAGGCGGTCCAACCAATGAATAAAGTTTTGCTTGCTTTTTGTAAACTATTTCTCTTCCCTGACATTAATTCGATCAATTTTGTTGTTTAATACACGTCTCATTAAGGTACTTTGGATGAATTATTATTCGTTGGATACCAATTTTCCTGGATTTTGTTGGTACAAGTAAACCACGAATTTGAATGTTCAATGAAGTACAAATTTGCTATTGGGTTGAATGTAGAATTAGACAAAACAACGCAGTCAAATATCCACGAAAATGCAAGATTTCCTCAATCCATGAGTATTGGTACCCACGAAAATAAATGAATCCACAGTTTACGTCACATCACTTTTCAATTACATGTACAAAAAACAATAGACCAAATGCTGCATGCTTTATTTGCTGAAAGCTATATACAATAGAAACCCATATAAAGCATGTTATCCTGAGGATACTTGTTTAAAACTTACTGGTTTACATCGACTGACTCTAAAATCATTGAAAATATCAGTACTATTATAGTAAGAGGTAACAGTAAATACAATCATGATACTACTCCAAAAAATGGAAAGCAGATCATCGGAATATAAACGATGCTTTATAAAAAATTTGACAGTAAATTGGAAAAAGAAACCATAAAAAAATAAAACAAAAATTAATCCAAAAAAATAAGCAAACAAATATATATATATATATACAACTTGTATAAGCAGAAAAAAACAATACTCTAATGAGGATTTGTGATGTAAAAAGATACAAAACACCTCTTATTTAATGCCCTATTTATATCGCTCAAAATGAATGTCATAAATACTATAACTAATCAGATCAATTCATGTTCAGTTCAGAAACATTATGATACTTTATATAGAACCATATGTAACATTTTGCACCACCATAATTTACTTGCAAATAAATGACAAGTGAACAACCTGGTAGGTAAAAAGCAATGAAGAAGCAAAATAATAAAAGAAAAACTTTTATAAACAAAGTACATACAAATCACTGGGTTTCAAGCTTAGCAGAACAGAAAAAATCGTAAAGAGTCCTTGGGTCGTTTAAAAAGTAGGTTTCCATTTGATGATTAATTTCTAGAACAGCTGTAAGGTTCCTTAACATCAGTTACAAATCGGTTCTGTTGAGGCACAGAGATAGATTCAATCTCGGGTAGAGGACGATGATGGCTATGAGTGAGAAGAATCTGGGCGTTTCTATTTTCTTGATCTAAACACTTCATTGATACACGTTTTCCTCTTGGTCTGATTTCCTTACAAGCTGGTTTACATTCCTTTACAGGTTCAGCTGAGAAACAAACCTGACTTTTACCATTTTGTTGCCGTGTTTTTACAAGTTGCCTTTGGACGGGTTTACATGCATCTGAAATTCAATGTAAAATATATTAGAACATAGTAAAAGCAAAAATGTAAAACTACAACTAAGACTGGTCTCTTTTCGGCATTCTATAAATTAAAGTTAATCGGGATAACATTTTTCCCTTTTCAAGCAGGTAATATTTAAATCCTTTGAAGTATTTATTCTAAATTTCTGCATGGGGAATACTCTTAAGTTGTTCAATACAACACGTTATCTTAAAGTTTACATCTAACTTCCATTTCTTTTGACATTAATGCTTTTGCACCCCTGTGATAATTGCAGGAAATTAAAATGTGGTTTAATCTACGAAAATTTTTTTTGAATTCTATGACATGTATTGATAAAAAAAATTGTACCAATTTAGAATTCATCTCAAAATTGCATTGCTGTTTTCAAATGTTAACAGTTTCTTTTATTATAGATTAAGTATCCTAAACACCCTACCAGGAGACTGTGGCTATTATAGATTAAGTATCCTAAACACCCTACCAGGAGACTGTGGCTATTATAGATTAAGTATCCTAAACACCCTAAGAGGAGACTGTGGCTATTATAGATTAAGTATCCTAAACACCCAACCAGGAGACTGTGGCTATTATAGATTAAGTATCCTAAACACCCTACCAGGAGACTGTGGCTATTATAGATTAAGTATCCTAAACACCCTACCAGGAGACTGTGGCTGTTATAGATTAAGTATCCTAAACACCCTACCAGGAGACTGTGGCTATTATAGATTAAGTATCCTATACACCCTACCAGGAGACTGTGGCTGTTCTTTACTGCATTGGTCTTTGATCGGTTGAACATTGCACTTATCATCAGGTAATATATTATCTGCTAACAAACAGCTAGGTGACCTCTGTTGTAGTCTTTGTGGATTTTCCCGGTCATTTTGTTGGATGCCATCGTAATTGCCACAGATTCCACAGAGTCTGGAATACTGGAATGGAGATGCCTGAAAAACGTACAGTGCTGTGGTTAACTTGCGTTTTTAGGTTGCATTCTTTTTAATACCAAAAAAAAAACAGGTTGAAAAAAAATATGTTTATATATATATATTAAGTTAAGTTAGTTTGAACAATAAGATAGAATTTCTAAGGTATAAAAAACACCGCTAAGTGATTTTCTTTCGAAACACAGATATACTGGGTGAAGTCGCAATGAAAATTCATTTCCATCATATATGTTAGGAGTAAATTGGCTGTCTTTTTTCATTGCTGATTTCAAACAATAAATTGTGGAGTAACATGTTATACTTTAAAACTTGTTTGATAAGGCTATAATGTAATCCTTCCAGAACCTTTTACCTGAACTTTGATTTGATCTTGTAACACCATGACTCGGATTCCTTCTTGAGGTAAAGAAATCTTCACATCTTCTCCTTCTTGGGTAACTTTAACTACATCCTGCTTCCTTCTAAAAGAAACGTATTTCTTATGAACAGTTGTGTTTAACCTATCTTGGCAATGATAAAAAAAAAAATGATTTATCTGATTTATAAAGTAGAAGTGTAAGGTGTACTAGTTTAATATTTAGCTTTGGCTTTTTTCATAGAAAACATATGGCTATACCATGTAAATAACTTATTAATGCAAAGTATTTTTAACCTTTCGATGCATCCAATCTCGTCTCACTTGGAGCTCATACGATTCCATCAATTGGTGTTTACCTTGATTTGTAGCTTATCAGTTAAAAATAAAATTCAGCACCAAGCGTTGATATTGGCCCTTTTTTCATAATTTTCTTCAAGCATTATTTTATTACTATCACTTTTCAGAATTATTTGAAAGATAACACTTATGCTTGCTCATAACTCTTCTCGTGTCCCTACAAAAAGTATTAGAAGAAATTAAATTTCCGCAGCCTAAAAGATAAAAGAACCACCGTATAATTACGAGAGTCCCTTTCTATAATGATTACACTTAGTGTCATAGTTTGGTTACAATGATACTTACGGTTTTCCATTTTGTGCTTGAACTATTACTGATTTATCCTGTGATAATGGCTGCTGCTGACCATTAACTTTGACACTAATGCTGACGTCTTTTACAACTTCCACTCTTGATTCCCCAGCAATCACAGTTACAACCTAAATAAAGAAAAACAACTGCATATGAATGTTAGAGTACTTAATGATATCAAATAAGAATAATTGTAAAACAATAATTCCGGTTTAGCTGAAACAAAGCAAAGGAGTACCGACTGTGATTGTATTCAAATACGGTGCCAACCCATCAATTTATGAAGAAGAACTCATTCTATTGAAGTTGAATTGTCTAACTGTATTCTATCTGTCGACAATTTGAGATGCACAAGCCTGAAATTACATTGAATTCAAACTATCGTGTGTTTGTGGGGGGAGGGGGTGTTATCATTTTCAGCTGATTGGTGTTGATTGGTTTTACGAAATTTACGAAGTTTGTCATCTATCTACTTATTACCTTATACGGATTATCTCTGTTTTTAACATAAGTACTACACAGACAACAGTAGTTCATATCTCATAAATCGATTAAGAAGACAGGTCAATGTAAAAAAAAATTTAAAAAAATGAGGAAATCGCATGAACTTCAAAGGAATCGAGAACGGGTGCGTCGACATGGTAAGCGTCTCCTGCTATGAATGCATCACCAGTCATACATGAGTGTTATAGATAAAAAAAAAGGCTGACCTTTCAGAGTACATGCGTACATAAAAATATTTTTATACCGATTTCAGTAGTGTTCATGCTACTCAATTTTTAATTAGTTTTCTTAGTATTATCGAATCTTGTTGTCTATTGTTCGTGATTTTCTCTAGCCCTAGCGTATCTTCCTACTTATTTAAGTTTTTATTTAATGGTGTGATATTTAGTTGATGAAATGATTTGAGTTACTCAAAAAATCTTTTTGTTTAGCGTTATGGACACATTAAGAATAATTAATATATAGCAGCACGCTAGATAAGTTTGCCACAAATATCAGCAAACCAAAACTTTTTGATCATTTATGATGCCTTTAAATATACTCTCTGTGTCTCAGCTTCATTAACGTTGGAACTCGAAAGTACCTGATGAGTTGTCGTACGTATTAACATAGGCGCATAATACGTTTATATGTGTCTTCCATCGGTTTTATTTGTGAGTCTTTACTTTATACTTTTATATCATTACCCTCTTCTGTCGATTCTCACTCCTGGCTTTTACCACATATTTAGCAGCTGGAGAGCAGTCCATGGCCAGAATAACGTCACAAGACCTTGTCGCAGGTAATTCCATAACATGCTCATCCATTGTTCTAACTGACCCCTGGCGGAGTTCACATTCACCTTCAATTGTATATCAATACGTTTGTGAAGCATTTAATTCTTCTAACCCGAGGTATAGCTTGTTCGCATCTTTGAGTTTGAATATCCCTTTGGTATCTTCCGACTCTCTTTTTGAAGCAGTAAAGTTTGTTTGAAGGGGCATTACATTAAACTTCGATTTTGACTGTATAACTTGAATTTTTTTTCGTTTCATGAATTAGTTTAACGTAACTTTGAATATTACTCACTATAAGTAGTCAGCTTGGTTTAATATTGTGAAAAATAAGCTCATCATTCAAGTTGAACGTAAAATGGGCTAAAAGTCTAATATTTATTACGAAATATCTTCATTTGAATATATGTACAATTTTACCATTAGAAGTGTTCCAATGGGCAATAATTGATGAAATATCAGTAATATTCATCAAAGGTTTTCGTTCCTTAATATTCTTTTTAGTCGTTATCTTACCTGGCAGTTTCTGAGATGCACCAAATAATGGCACTTTTTGAGGTACACTCTTGGGCAGTTTGATGCTATCTGCTCTGTAGAACATTTCCATAAAGACCATCCAAGGAAGATAAACACCATGAAATTTGTCCGTTTCATATGGTGTGAACAGAGATATGTCCATCTAGCAAAGAAATGAAGAACGAAGCAAGTGAGATAATAAAATTTGGATGTTTATATAATAGAATTCATTTTCATATTTCATATTTTCATTTAAAGTTGGCAGTTGTTTTATCATAAGACTGGCGATACCATTCTTAATATGAACTCTAGAGACTTTGTTGGAGAACGTTCTGTTATTGTTGTTGTTGAGTTGCTGTCTCATCAACATCTTTAACTTATATTTAACTTTGAAAATCCAATCTTTCAGTGAATTTGTCAGATTTTATATATGCTTAGAATATGGCTAGTGCTGATATCTTGATTGGAATTTACAAGTGACCTTGCTTTATGTGGATTTCAAAAAAGTTTGCGATTAGTAGGGATTAGCAATCAACTTATCCAAATTTTTTGTTTTTTATATGTTTTTTGGAATATCTCTATTTCATACTTTTTCGGAAGAGATAGATGTAAAATTACTTACCTGTTTATTATTTCTGTGCAGATCAAACATAAACTCAATTTGATCCGCGGTTTCCTTTGGCATATAAAATTCACCATATTTATACAAAGCGAATTTCATATATTCTTGGAAGCGCCAATACATCATACGATAAAATGGCTCGAAGTCGGTCTAGAAATGAACAAAAAAATATTTGTTGTTCTTAAATGAATCATGAGATCTAATACTTTCATTTTTGATTACAATAAAACAACGGAAAAACTAAACGTATCATTTACAAAACTGTAAAACAATAGTCTTCAACTGTAAGGAACAGCTATAATAGGGATTTCCTTTTCAAGGTGAACTTATTTTCGAATGTTATTATATATTTCGTAGAAACTCACAACTGTGTAAGCAAATGATTGTCTGATCTCACTCCTGCCGATAGAGACTTATTTCTATCTTGTAAACTGTTGTTTAATGGACCAATGATTTTCCACTAGAATCTTGCCTCCCCTCTTATAATTTCAAGTCTTACCATTGAGATGATATATGCTTTTATAATCCTTGTGGACTTGATTTAAAAAGCAAATTTAATTCGATTTAATTCATATGCTAATTCGACCTTTTCTGTTAACATGGTGGTTTAAATTTTCTTTCCAAGAGTCTATAATTTGGTTACTAGTTTCAGTCCTTAATTACTATTACAGCATACTACTACAACTATATATTATGATATCTTCCCGAATAACTACCGACTTACCATGACATATTTCACATTAAAATGATAATGTCGGAACATGTTTAGTTCCCGTTTAAGGTCTCTGTATGCCTGCTCTGATTTAGCTGTTGGATTGTCCTTTTCTTCCAGATATCTTCGTACTAAATCGTCTTTTTGTGGAGATGTCTGCCTAGCTTCCCATTGCAATTGGGCCATTGACTTAGCAGCTACACCCTATTAAAAAAAGTTGAAAATTTTACTGAAATTAGTTTACATTCCTTGTAAGCTTATACGACTGCTTGTGTGTACATGTTTGTGTGGTTGTTCTGGGTCACATTGATTTTTGTGCTGTGAGGTTTTGTTCCTCCAGCTTTTGGTCTATGAATGTACCTTAAAAAGGCCAACCCCTCTAAAAAATTATAAAAATAAATTAAAAACGCTTTAGATTTTTTTTTCATTTTGTGCGCATATGGTATGTTTTTTTATAGATACACACATAGATTGTTACATAGGAATTTACAAATTAATTTTTTTGCAGAGAGCTGAAAGACTTAATGATGATACCATAAACGAGTGCTTCTATTAGATCCAATCTGGAGAATGCCATGTTGTAATGTTTTTTTTAAATACTTAACCTAAACAACAACTATAAAAGGAACAGAATATCCATTTCAAAACAAATGACCTAAGTTTAAAAATATATAGTGTCCTTTCGATTTAAGTGAAAATATAAGACCTATGACTGAAAATCGAATTTTCACGAGTAAAACTGTACAAAACAAAAGGTAAGATTAAAAAGATGGTAACTTGTGTGGGATTAAATAGTAAAACAAAATGTAGACGCTATCAGCAAGTTTTCTCTTTAACTTGTCAAATCTCTTCCCCTATAAATGAAAACGAGATACTTTGGTGATAACAAATTTATAAATGAAACTTTAAAACACTTTGCTAAAACAACAATCAAACCTTTTTAAAAACTACTTAAATTTAGTTTGAATATAATTATATTTCCTGCTCCAAATTACATTTGTTTGTCATTCCATGTTATACATAATACATGTATACGTCAGTTAGAGGGCATCGTATGGCTTATTTTCACAGTAACTATGAGTCCATTTGCAGGGATTTTCTAAGTTTGTGTAGTGTGATAGTGTAAGAACATCCGATCAAAGCAGATGATAATACCTAATAAAATTATATAATCTCATGCTGATAATTGATCTTGTATGAGAAATACACTTCATATTTTATACATACGCTTATTCAAATTCACTATATCATAATTTAAAAGGAAATGTTGCTGTTGTTAAGATGTTAATAATGCTTTCGTCAACATACCTGTAAGGTTATATGCTTATGAAGAAGGCCTTTGTATCCAAATGTGATGTCCATGTTCAGAAACATCTGATTATCTGCTGACTGTTTCGGCATCTCCTGCAGTTCTCTGTATTGTTCATTACTCTCATATGCTTCTTCGGAGCTTTGTACACTTTCTTTCAAAGCATGTTGATGACGCATCTGTTGTTTGAGTTCATCTTTTAGTACCTTCAATTCGCTTGATTGTCTACGTTGCAAGCTTTTCTCGTCTGATGAATCGACACCTTGACCAATCTTCAGCTGGAGCGTTTTTTGAATTTCATTGATTTGACGGAGTTGATTTTCTGGTATCCTTATCTGCGAATGAGCAGACACAACAGCAACAGCTTCCTTTGTTAATCTGATCGATTCTTTAATTAATTGTGATTTCTTTTTATTTGAAATTTGAGATATTTGCTGTTTTATCTGTTTCAACTTTTGCTGTATTTCTTTAATCAGGTGCTCTACCTCAGAGGGAACATCAACTCGTTGTTGTTCGTTTGAACGAGGACTTGACCATTTTGAACTATCAGATTGTGTGATTGGCTGCATTTCCTCAGACGTCGAAGATGATTGTTGTTTCCTCGATGATAAACCTATCCTAACTTGTCTGTCAATGGAAACCTTTATTTCACGAAGTTCTTGGTGTTGCCTCTGTAAAATGCGCTTAAGCTGTTGTTTTTCTGAAGATGATATACGTTGTGTGTCCCTTTCTATAGCTTGTAAGATTTTATCTTGTTTTTGGACCATTTCACTTACATGCTCCAAATAATGCGGTTGCCATGGTTGTTTAGGTTGTTTAGAAATTGTGTCTACGATTTGTTTTGCTTTCTGAATAATTTCATTGGAAATATCAGCAATGTGTTGACCTCCCTTACTAGGGCCCAGCTGTTTTACTAATTCTTCAACGGATTGTTGTTCGAGTTGAATTTCACCCATCAATTTCGAAACTGTGAATACTGCTTGTGGAACACTCCTCTGTGCTGACTTCTCTATTCTCTTTGTCAATCTATTTAACACATCCATATTGATAAGTTTATCGCCTTGTATTCTGTCTCGCAGACTCTTCTCTTGGTTATTCTGTATTATATTCTGAACCTTATCTAACAGTTGTATTTGCGACTGACTTATTGTTTTCACTTGGTCCACAGCAGGACTATAATGTTTGACTTGGTCTGCTTTCTGGGCCACCTCATTAGATATTTCTTCAAGTTTGTTTACAACGTTTCTGGCTTCTTTCTCATCCAATCTTGCCAATTTCGGGAGGGATAAGCCAATGTGAATTTGTCTCAAACGTAATTTGCTAAGTTCTGTCACAATTTGTATATCATTTTGTGAATTGGATTTTTGCATTTGATAAATATCTTTTTCCAGTTTTCTCATTTGATCAACTAGAGAAATAGCGCGACTCTGATCTTGAAGTCTGTCTATAAGTTCTTTCAATTGAGGCTTACCTACAATTGATTCTACACTATCATTCTCGCTACTTTCCATTGATTTGTCACTGGACTGGTCTAAAGGATTTTGAGTGGCTTGCTTAATAGCTTCTGCTATCTGCTGATGTTGAATCAAAACACTGAGTAACACAAGAGCCTGTTCTTGGTTTTCTTTTACATTGTGCTGGGTAACAATCTGGTGTAATAAATGATCTGTCATCTGTAAGACCTGTCGAAGTGCTTGTTTTGGTACCTTCTTTGGTGAACCTGATACTTTTCCCATTATTTTTGCCTGTTCCTGTTTTACTGCTTGAAATTCTTTCATTACTAATGGTTTAGGATTCTTTGAACCACTTTGCTCTTTTTGTGACTGTTTTTGAAGTAATTTTTGAACCTCCTGTCCAGAGCCCTGTACCTTAAGATTAAGTGCTTGTCTTTGTTGTTTGTCTAAATGACTTTGCAAACTTTTCTTGATCATCATCAGACGTTTCTGGTTTTCCTGTTGCCTTAGGACAATACTCTTCAAAAGTATGTCTTTCTTTGAATTGTCTGGTATTTTTTCTAATTGCTTTGATGCTTCGTCGTTAATAGACGATAGTTTTTCTATCAAATTGTTCGATTTTTGTAATTTACTGGACGAATCCAATACATTATGTCTCTGCTTCACAAAGCTTTGAAGCTGTTGTGAAACTTGTTTTTGGTTTTCTTCCAGTTTAATCAACTGCTGCATTTTTGGGTCGGAAGACCTCTTATTTTCCTGCACTACTTCTTCGACAAGATCTCTCTGACAATGCTTAGGGTTTGACAGCAAGTCAAATAGATTATCTTTTCCCCGCACTGACTCTAATTTCAACATTTGATCCATAGCTTCCTCGCCGTGCCTTTGCAAAAATCTCTGGATAAGTCTTTGGTTTTCTCTCTGATATGATGGGCTCAACAGATCCGAAGGTTCTATTTCCATATCTGGATATTCAAATGTCCCCTTGACTTCGACCTGTAATACGAAAATATTCTAAGCTTACCCATATATTACTGAAATGATAACTGTATACATTCATGTACTCTTTTTTTTAAACATTAAATCGTGGAAGACGAGATTTGGCAATAACTTTTCTGTGTCATTTGATGATTCAGTTATATCTGCATTTTATTGTATTGTTGATAATTCTTGCTGTTAATAATTTCTGTTTAATTATTATTCATTTCAAGGTAATAGACAAAAACGCTAAATTGATAAGTTTCAGGGACAATGATAACAAGAATGTGTCCATAGTACACGGATGCCCCACTCGCATTATCATTTTCTATGTTCAGTGGACCGTTAATTTGGGGGTCAAAACTCTAATTTGGCAATAACATTAGAAAGATCATATCATTGGGAACATGTGTACTAAGTTTCAAGTTGATTGGACTTCAACTTCATCAAAAACTACCTTGACCAAAAACTTTAACCTGAAGCGGGACAGACGGGCGGACGAACGGACGGACGAAAGGACGCACAGACCGAAACACATGATGCCCCTCTACTATCGTAGATGGGGCACAAAAAAGAGGCTGCTGATACCAAGAGGTCAATTGATGATTTCAGTCATTAATCTTTGTAAAGCTGATCTTATATTGCTGATCATTTTGCTGTTTACAGTTTACTTTAACATTTCAAAAAGATTGGAAGATACCAGGGCGAGGGGAGAAGTAAGAGAGACAGGAAGGCTTACATTGGCAAACATATGTCACAATGAGAAAGGTGTATATTAAAATTTATCATTGAAGAAGACCATCTATTTTCACATTCTACAATTATTGTCTTTCTCTAACGGCAAAGAATTAAATAATTTATAGAAATATTTACATCTTCATTTTTTTTTTTTTGCCGTTGTGATTTCATATTGTTTATTCATTGATTACTATCTCGACACTGATGATATTGCACTGTGAATATTTACTAAATATATATATATTATGGGCTATATTGCTTACAAATAAAGTCATTTTGATTATTATCATAAAACTATATACTAAAATGCTTCATAAAGTAACCTCTATTTTCTAAAAACATTGTTCTCTAGTTTTCATGCTTTTTTCACATTTCTCGATCGTGTGTTAAAAATATTTAAATCTCTAAGAGAACAGGGATGGGTACGATTAATGACAAATGTAATCGAAAAACGATGTAATTACTTTTGATAAAGTAATCGATTGCAATCGATTACTCTATCAAAAGTAATTACATCATTTTTCGATTACTGTCAATTACATAATACAAAGTTAAAAAAAAAATAATAAAGAAAGTTAAACACAATTACGTTGCTCAATTTCTTTATAGTGGAAATTTTGAACTTTACAAAAACAGCATTAACAGCATTGTTTCCAAATGTTAAGTTGACAGTTGTTTTCTAGATGGAAGCTATTACCGATGATCTAAAATATATAAAAATGCAGGAGTGAGTGATGATCAAGTTCTTGCAATGCCATTGACCATTGCATCAATCTCTTCTTTATATTTTAAATCATTTTCTCAATATTTTGCAAACTTTTGCTGTCATACTGACTTGATTTTTTCTTTAACTCATTATAATAAGCATAATGTGATTAAAGTAATAAAAAATTGAATTGATTTATTAACAGGTATATTTGAGTATAGTAATTTACAATGTTGGAAGTTTCCTCTGAAAAAAAACCCCCATACAAAGGTAGAATAGTTATGCCAGTTAATTTTAAAGATGGAAATGTAGAATTTATAGTTCCATGCATGAAATTATCCTTTTGCTTGGATAACCCCCTAAATATTGAAATAAGCAATGGAGTAAAATGTATAACCTAGGGCAATATACTGTAAATCTCTCACTTAATTAGACATAATTGTAATCAAAACAAAGTCTGCATCTCATTGATAAGAAGTTTTCGATTGTCTGATTAGTAAAGACAAGAAAGTTTTTGAGAATTCATAATTCAAAATTCAAAATTCAAAACAATATACTTTTTTAGTGTCAAAATGGGATAGTTGTATCTATTACTGAACAAGAATTTCAATGTCAAAAGGATTTTGTATACTTTCTTAATTTCTATATCATAACGTTATGACGAATCAACAGTTTATCTATTCAAAGCTAAAACACCAACTCTTATTTAAAATTATGCTTTATATAAAGGAATTTTAACACCAATAAGCTAACTATTTCAATGTAGTATAGAACTTAACTTAGTACTATTTTCTTATTTTTAATCTATTTTCTTATTTTTGATATAAAAGGTCTTCAATTATTGTCAAGCATAGAAAGTCATTTGTTTCAAAAGCTGGAAATTCAGTAAAATTTGTAAGGAGATCTGGTTGATGATAATGCAGCTTGAGACAACAGATCTGAATAAGGCATTTGACAAACTCTTAAGTCATATCTATTCATTCTGTTCTATCTGTACTATAAAATGATGAATGCATGCAGAGGTCTATTTTCATTTAAACTAGGTTATATATTGTATCACTATTTTGCTAAAGAAATCGAAATGTAATCGAAAAGTATTTTTGCTGTAATCGATTGAATTACGATTACATGTAATCGAAAATGTTGTCGATTACAGATTACTGTTGATTACTTGAATACATGTAAGCAATTACAATCGATTACGATTACGTTTACCCCATTCATACTAGAGAAAAGTTTGTTCTTGGCAAATGATTGGTCGAAATTCAATGATGACGTCAAATTTTCTTGGTCATGAAAAAAGGCGACCATGCCTGATGACATCACATATAAAGAACACAACTTTCTGCGAATCTTTGAAAAGAAAGGACAAAGTTCGTTTAGATTTCGCCAAAAAATTATTTAGAGAAACAGATTCCACCACTATATCTCGTGTATTGCGATATTTCTCCACTCTCAACAGTTAATTTTAAATTGTTTAAAAAGCTCGGCTAGACTCGCTCTTTAAATATTAAAATTTAAGTGTCTTGAGTGCAGAAATATTGTAAACTCATTTGCTGCAGTGGTAGAATCTATATTTTTGTAATATAAACAATAATCATTTTGTACTGAATCTAACTCATTGTGCCTACATATTTTTCTTATCAAAAGAACTGAAACACAGCAAAAACTGGCACAGGTCGACGATCATACGTCGATTAATAATATAAGTATATCAATACATTATGTAACAGTTTTTTTGTTGTGGTATCCTAAAATCTCGACATGTTCCACTTTTCGTTGACACTTACTCATTTTAACCAAAAAAATAGATTAAAAATGTTATATATAACTGCATGAGGATGAAAGCACACTGTTTATGGGGTACTTACATTGTATGAATGTTGTTCTATCTCTGGGAAAGCAGTACGTAAATAATGGAAATTAAAACTATGTTGTCTTTTTGTTGGATTTCGTTGATAGTATCCTTCAAACTGTGCCCATCGTTCTGGTTTACTTCCAACGCCAACCCATCGAACACCAAATCCATACCATGCTGGAGAACTGCTGGAAGACTGATGTCGACGTTCTTGTCTTGACAATTCGATACCTGAACGTTGTTGTGATTTTTGTTGGGGATCACTACTACTTTCTTGTGATTGTTGTTGGGGATCACTACTACTTTCTTGTGATTGTTGTTGGGGATCACTACTACTTTCTTGTGATTGTTGTTGGGGATCACTACTGCTTTGTTGTGATTGTTGCTTGGAGTCACTAATACTTTGTTGAGATCGTTGTTGTTGGGATCTGCTGTTAATTTGTAGTGATTGTTGCTGTGTATTCTGACGAGGTTGTGATGATATTGACTCTTCACTCTCTGTATTTGCACCAAAAATATAACTCTTGAGGTTTGACCAAATTCCATTTGGTGGATTATTTTTATCTTGTTCCTGGCTAGTTTGACCCGCTTGACTTTCTTCAGAACTTGTGTCCGTTCTTCTGTCTATCGATGGATCTGATAATTTAGTTAAATATTTGAATTGAAATTCTGCGAATTCCGGCGGGTTAACTCCTGGTTTAAAGGACATAAACATCTGATTTCTTCCACAAAATGGATAAAAGGGCAATCGTGGGAAGAAATTTCTAGTAACTCTTTGTCCTTTCATCTCGTATGTGAAGCCTAGTTCATACTTTCCATAATGGTAGTCAAACTAAAACATAAATTGCATGATTTCAATTGGATAAATATTTCGGAATATACTTTTGTATGAGAGTGCATGCAAGTGCAAAGGGACACCAATCAAACAGCAAAGAAATGGTATCGTAAAAGTTAGCTATTAATAGTACATAAAAAAGGACAACAGCAATAAAAAATATGAACAGACCACAAGAATATATTTCCATGCATTTAAAATTAAATTTCTATTTCCTCAGCAATTTCCTTAATTATATTCTGTTTTAACCATAGTACTGTTTTGTACTTGCAACATTACAATTTGTTGTGTGTTACTACCTTAGATAAAGCCGACGAACAGAGGCACTAGTCGACTTAAAAAAGCTATATTATAAACAGCCTAGTTAGCAGAATGGTCTATGTCTAAACACATGACATATTTACCACAGACCATTGAATAATCTAAGGTTATGTAAGGCCGATTCCTCTAATTGCACATACTTCGCCTTACATTCAGCCCAACAATGTTAACTCAGTATTTTTTGTTCTTCCCTAGGCGGAATTTGAACCCATGCTTCTATAACATTGTGACAGTACATCATGAACTCATTTGTGCAAATACTATTATATAGTTAAAGATCTTTTGTGAGCATTCTAACATATTCCACGCCCTCACATTTTACTGGGCAAACAAGATATCACCAGATTCCTAAGTTCAAAGACTCAGAACTCCTGCAAAAGTCAACTGATAAAAATTTCTTTAGGCCAAACATCTAATTTCAAGAGGACATAACTCTTATAAAAAGAATGAATCATAATTTCTTGTCGATAAGTATATCTACATAGTATGTCCTAATTATCTACAAAGTTTCATTACATTCTTTTGTGTGGATTCAGAGGAGTTGCGATGACAAACTGATGCAGTAGTATATTTTGGCCAAAACGCTAAGTTAAAAGGGACATAACTTCTAGACAATTACAAGAGGTGTTGCCGCGATGTCATGGAAGCATGTAATCAAATCCCGCTGAGAAAGAAAACATCTTTGCGATTGGGGTGAATTTTAAAAAGAAGTATGATATACATGTATATCCGACCTGACTTGAAATTTCGTTTTAATTTCAATAGAAAACAGGATTTAACAGTGAAATTTGATTTCATATTAACACTAAGCATATTATGTTTTATAACGAAAATCATTATACATAATAAAACATATTGATTCTCGTTAAATAAGTGAATAATTATAAAATTTATATATGTCTTTCACGTTCACATTCACAAGTTTTAATGGAAAAACGTAAAAAGATACCACGATGACAATCAGTATTTAAAACTCGGGAGTGGAAAGACATCACCTTATCAAACTAAAAGACAAACATACAAACAATAGTCCGTTAAAAGTCTGCAAAAAACAAATGATTATCTTCCTAAAATGGAACTCGAGGTGAAAGTATTTGCTCAATAAGGGTAAGCAGTTGCAAAGGTTTTGGTCTTTAACTAGATAACTCTAAATCAGAGCTTTTACTGTATTTATCATCATGACGCCCATTCATAAACCATTCCAACCACTATTTAGCAAGACTGCCATTTTTCTTTCTGATTGTGGTATTTTAGTTATGCAAAAAAGGAAAACAAGACAACTTCAGGTCGACAAAGATATTTTCCGCCATAGGTACATCTTTGCCGAACGCACCTTTTGGACAAACATAGGATTAATTGTTTTATGTTTACTATGCGATCATCGACGTCCGCATATTAAATTATCTAAATGCTAGGACTTTCGAATTGTAACCATCAGTAACTAACCCTTTTCATATTTAACTTTCATTAACCCTAATATCATTTCTTTTTAATTTTATGAAACAGACTAGTTTTGAAACACATGCATGTAGAATACGCACAAGGACGTTTTGCATACTAGTATTACTTGTTTATGTAAAGCATTTCACAATTTCTTTCAATACTCACTGGCATAACTTCTGCGTCGTTCATTTTATCCACATATTTAAGGTCTGCATATGGAACTTTACTTGTGCCAATGTAATGACTCTCTACAAAGAACGTAGGACTAATCTCGCTATGGAAGAAATTCTCTTTCTGAAATACAGGTATGACATATGTATCATTTTCATCTCAAGAATTACTTTTAATATTTATAAATCTCTTTTAAATTATTTATTGCTTTGTATCACGTGTATTAGGGCTAAAATTGTCACTTAAATATAATTCTCAAAACAATACATTCATTTCTTTACATTTACAGTCATGAACATAGTTTTCTGATATATTAATTACATTTTGTAAAATAATTACCATATTCTTCATGTCCATCTTTGTGAAAAAGTCTCCTGTGTTAGGATTTAATGATACGGAGAAGGACAATGGTGAGGCCGACTGGAATTGTGATGTTATTGTAGCACCGCTCTTGAAATAGTAAAAATCAGCCTCTACAACTCCTCTCATTTGGAATGCCATGCTAATGAAGAAATACAAATAATATATATGTATATCTTGAAAGTTGCAGTCGAACGAATATTCTTTACTATCATTATTGTTATTGGTACTATGCTAAGTAGCATCATTGTTAATATTATTCTGATTACTATCATTTTGATTCAAATTGTGATAATCATTATTATTGTTAAATAGGAGGGACGCCATGGTTGCGAAGTTGAAAATTTGGTCAATGAATATATAGGTTCAAACAACATGTATTTTAGTTTCATGTTATCTATTTTGTACCAAAAATATAAATCCGTAAAATATAAACATCCACACGCGTTAAAATAAATAGTTGAGACGTGTACACGTGATAGAATGTGACAGGGATTATGTTACTATTGAAAAATGGAAAGTTGACTAAGGGAAAATGAAATCTTCGAGGTTTTTTTTGTTGGAGATTCAAGTTTGAATTTGTCCATCTGTGTCAATTTCAAAACCTAGATCCGGAATGAAGCCGACCTACTCGACTCGGTGGGATTCTAAATGTCAAATTCAATGAGAGTACTCGCAGAAATGTCGGTTATAGAGTGACAGGAAATCATCAACCTTTCTGAAGGTGTGATCTACTTTTTTCATTGGTGCCTTTTCTATTGGTTAATGAGAAGTTTTTTGAGTGATTTCGTCTTCATGAAAATACTAAAGTAGTCGACCAGTAGGTTCAAACAACTAGTACCCGACTGTTTGTTGAAATATTAATCCACCAAACTCGACAGGTATGTTGGTGATCAATATAAGTACAGCGTTTTGATAATATCGTCTTCGGTGCTTCTGTTCTTAGAATCAATGTGGTTTGTCACGAAGTAAGATTTTTTCAAGAACTAAAACAAGAAATATGTAAATATTTCCACTTTCTGTTGCAAAGGCATTGTTAAATGAGAAGATGTTGTAGATCTAAATAATTAGTAGTGTAGCTAGTTTGATGATTATGGCTGAAGATTTTGGAGTAGATATTTAGAATTTTTAAATCCACATGTGTTTGACATCTCTGGTTGAGTTTATCTTACCGCAATATGTTTGAAGACCATCTTTTTCAGTAAAAAAAATGGTAGTAAGAAACTTAAAAAGACATTAAGAGGAACACCTAGACGAGTCTGTTATATATCGATCTTTGTAGGGATTTTTGTCAATTTTGGGTATCCGAAATAATTGGACGTAGATTTTCGTCGTCTTTTTAATGATAAATACAAACAATTATAAGAGAGAAGAACATAAGAACTGACTTTCGATTTATTTTTTAAAATCTACTCTTGTATGATAGTGAATGATATGCATAAACGAGATTTCGCTAGGCAGTCCAATTAATAATTTGTGTGGGTAAAAGGTTATTGCAAGAGGCTTTGTCTTCTAGAACAACACATTTGTTGGATAGAAGGATAAAGTACCTACAGCATCGTGAAAGGTAGAAAACCATGTGCTCAGAGCACATTGTAGTTTCTGGATGCCCTTCTGAACTCATGATCGAACATCTTTTGTGATAAAGTATCAAGTGTTGGTTGGTTTTTCTGATGCTTAATCCCTTTGTAAACATAGTATGTAACATCATCTATCAGTAACCCGATGTCATATCTTCTATTGATTGGCGAGATAATTCGATATTAAGGGCTAAAAACTAAGATGTTCATTTCTTATGATGCCAATCGTTGGTTACAACATGCCCAGTAGGAATTTGTAATGGGACGGGTCACGAGAAAACCAATTTTGGACTGAAAGACCATTTTGATCTGAACAGCCTATAAAAAACTGAAAAATGGGTTAAGTCATGGTCAGTCCTTGATCAATTTTCAGACTTATCCAATGTCCACTGTGGTGAATTCAGCATTATTCAGACAATTCGCTTGCAGTTGATTAAGTCTATGTTCAGACTGTTCAGTAGTTGTTATTTACCTGTCCTAACCAACAACATATTGAATTGTCTGAAATACTACATTGACTGCAAGCCGAGTATCTAAACAGTACTGAATTTTAATCTAGAAAATATCTGACGTATTACTTAAACTCTAAAGTATATATCAGATTCTTACTTTTTAGATGATGTTAAGATCAAAATGAGCGTTTAAGACTAAAGATCATAAACTATTGGATGACAAAGATCAATCAGAATAAAGATCTCTAATGCGATTTTGTATTAAACATCTTGAATGTAGGCATAAAAAAAGGCATGTGTAATTTCATCTTAAAGTCAAGTTACAGTAAATGGGTTATGTCACAGAACTCGGTAAAATTTTACATACAACTTTGGCTTGTTGAACTATAACTGAAAATCGAAAAAATATGCATTTATCTCTTTAATCATCTGAAATATTACTGATTGAATTCGTTCAAAATAGTTGAAAATTTTATAGAAAGTACATAAATTCGGCGAAAAACTTCTTAAATTTGTCTTAAAATCATCAAATCTCTAATTTCTAAAAGGTAAAATAACAAATTTTTCTTGATAAACTATATGTTGTTGATGCAAAAATTTCCGTTTTAATGATATAAAATAATCATATGGTCACCGACTTCGTTTTTTGTCTCATAATCAATCTGTTATCTAGTTGGTAGTGAAAAACGTAAAAAATTAACGTTTTACGATGACAGGGTGGAATAGCCTGTGATTAGCAATATCCTTTATTATTGTTTGTGAACAGAGGACAACAGACCATCTATAGACACATTGTGAACGGCAGATGTGTATTTGCGTTGGCTCTGACTATTGCAGCGTACAGAAGTGTGAAATAATATTACAACACAAAATTCCCACACCAGCTTTGTATTCGTTGCATCATAAGACATAAGACATACATAAGATATAAAGCTTTATTTAGAGTCGGTATGTGCAAATACAAGTATAAAACATAAGCTCTGAAGAGCTTTTAAAACCGACAGAGCAACAAATAAAACAAAACATACATATCAAGTCATGCACACATAAATTAAACATATACAGCAAGAGTTCATATCAGTATATAAACATCAATAATGAATACTATATCCCATAACTCGCTAATCCATACATTTTTTCTTTGTAGAGGGTATGGTGTGCTCCAAACTGGGTCATTTGTTGAGAGAATATTTTTCAGTTTAATACTGATTTTCATATAAACAATGAAATAGTCAGGCTAGTTGGTGAAACGTTTAAAGAAAACTGTATTGTTGATGTAGTTTAAGATATCAGTGTGTCCTTTATATAAAAAAGTAATGTATACAGCTTCAGTTCATCATTCCTGGAAGGATCCTTCAAAAAGAACAACCACAACATTTACATAAAATTGATACGAATGAATGTTAATTGGGCAATAATTAACAGTTAAAAATTGGTTTACTCATGAAAATGATAACTTACCTTGGATCGATGTCGAATCTGGCTTCTGATTGTTGAGCACTTCCTTTTAGTGTTTGTCCTAAGGACCATTTACCATTTACTTTTGAAGTTGCAGAACTTTTAACTTTGAAATGAATGGGGAATCCTATCTCGGTAAACCAACTGTATTGGCCATCGATATGCACAGCTGATTTATAAAAATCAACATCAAAACCATTTTGGGGGTCACTCTTGTCTGAAGCCAATCCTAAAAGAATGAAATATATGCTGAAACACCATAGAAACTATAACAAAAAGGAAATACTGAATAAAAAGGAAAAAACATAAACAGGTAATATTTGAAAGCTTTAAAACATCTAATGAGGACAAATTCCAGCTATGAACGTATATATACAGCTCTTTATAATTCCTGTTTATAAAATCAATTTGTGAAATATCTAAGACAATTGTCCTCATGTATAACGGAGTATGAAAAAATTAAGGTTTCAACTCCCTCAGGCAAAGTTGACCTTAGATGGATTTGGCTATTTCTTAGGTCCTTTTTGATCGTAAAGCTCTTCAACGGTTCTTATACATCCTTGGCTTTCAAATGTTTTGCATTGAGCGTTCCTGTTGAAGGTAAATCCAGAAAAGCGCTTCGGACGCATGAAATTTATAACGTATTGTTTTCATTTTTTACAGCACTGGGTCTATACCTCAACTGGTGGACTATCAGTCTCCGAGGGTATCATCAGCTCAGTAGTCAGTACTTCGGCACTGACATGATTTATAACAAACCTTTCTAAAATTGTCAGTTTATAAATTTTGAAATTATTTAGAAACTAAGGTTTCAACTCCCTCAGGCAAAGTTGACCTTAAATGGATTTGGCTATTTTTTAGCTCCTTTTTGGTCGTATAGCTCTTCAACCGTTTCGGTTCTTATACATCCTTGGCTTTCAAATATTTGGCATTGAGCGTTTCTGATGAAGGTAAATCCAGAAAATCGCTTCGGACGCATGAAATTTATAACGTGTTGTTTTCATTTTTTATGTAGCAGAGTGGAATATCTTACCTTTTTGAATGACATTTTGTAGCATGGATTCTTCCAAATCAAAATACCTAATTTCATTGTTAAAGAGTTTGAAATAGATATGTCCCTTTAAGTTTGGCGGTCGTCTCTGTTCTACTTTTAACTAAAATAAAAATCTTGAGTGTCAATCAATCAACATACTTAAATTAGAAGAATTTCGATTATTTAACGAATCCATATGTGAACGCATCATGGATATCAATGATGAAGAAGTTATAATAACCTAATTATATATAATATAAACTGTTGTTATATGTGATATCCTTTCTTACTTTGTTTTCCATAATTGAACTACATGCCTTGGTCATTCATAATATCAGTAAGATATTTTCCTCTTATATTTATTAAGGATTTCTCCGATGAACGAAGTGACAAAAATTACACAAATAAATATAGTCCAGCTGATTGCTTATAATTGTTAAAATAATTGTCTGAAAGAATCACTTATCGTAAAGTCAAAGGAAAGGTACTTATTTCAATTAAAGCTGTAGTTAGTATTTTATCGTTCTAACGTGGTAAAAGAAAGTTTACTGTTTAATAGTGACTTAACGTACATGCTTTTCATTTATGATTTTTTCTAGCAATCAGTTTTGTATCTGAAGTGAAACGGTTACGCTACTATATGTTAGACCATGGAAATAAAATGAAATATAATACTTCCATAGTTAGACCACTGACCTATCAAAAACAACGAAACTTGTTTGTATTGCAAACAAACTTATCAATATCCAATAGTGATTATTGTGATTATCTAAACATGTACGAGACAACTAGAATACAAAGTTCGTATTGTTATGATAATGTTTGTAACGATTTTTCTTTGTAATGAAAAACAGAAGTATGGTGTAAATATTTATGTCAAAAAATCTCTACACGCATTTTGCAAAGGAAAAGCGCTTTTGTTGCTGTTCTTTCTTTCAAAATCACAGTAAGCCTTTCAGCAAGGAGCATGAGATCAAACTTCACTACAAGTTTAATGGCAAAACATTTAGACATCTACGGGGAACATCATATATGCATATTTTTTGTCGAATTCAAGTGTCACAACTAAAACAGAGAATACGTACTTTTCTATGTATATCTCTAACACTTTCTGGGATTTGGTCAGATGGTTGCCTGCTTTCCTGGGATTGTTGTTTACTTTGATAAGACTGCTTCTCTGGTGAAGGAACGGACTGTTTTCCACTTTTCTTTGACTGGCTTGAACTTTGTGACTTAAGTAATTCAAAAACAGATTGACTTCTAGCTAGCTTACTGTAAGGACCAAGTAGTTTACTAATCATTTTCTGGAGACCTTCAGTATTAAATCCAACCTAAAAATATAGAACAAATTATTTAAAACAAAACGGTTTCATCAATATGGGTATTTCTTTTCAAATGTCATTCAACAGTCTGTTCCATTGTGAAGAATGTTTTTGATTGAAGTACAAACATTAAAGTACAGATAAAGAATAGCTCTTGTTACTTCCAGCAAATATTTATGGAAAAAAATAGAATAAGTTACCTCCATAATGTTTGTAGAATAACCCAGGATATGCATGTTTCCATGAATTGCACCACTGCGAGGGATAAATTCTTGGGGAGAGGATACGTAACCAAACTCCAAAGCACCACCTAATTTAGTATCATCTAAAACATTTACAATAAGGAATTAGATCAAATCAAGAATATGTTTAGTGAACTATATTTCTAGACACTCAAGCATTTTGTATAGTGATTAAGATTATAACACAATGTTGACTGCTGTACCCCTATTTTTGACATTTTTACCTACTATGCCTGTTTGTTTTATTCACACATCGTTGTCAATATAATGGAATTTTATTCGACTGTCATACAAGTGAGAGGTTTAGCTAGCTATAAAACCAGGTTTAATCCACCATTTTCTACATAAGAAAATGCCTGTACCAAGTCAGGGATATGACAGTTGTTATCCATTCGTTTGAGTTTTTTATTTTGCCATTTGATTACGGACTTTCCGTTTTGAACTTCGGTATTTTTGTAATTTTACTTTTTTGTATCATAGTAATCATTAGTAAAATGTGTGTTTTTATTATTTGACGAGTGGGTAAGTATCCAAATGTATATGATATACTAAATAACAATTATAAAATAAGTGAGCAAAAACACGAGTGAAGTTTACAGAAATATTTTGACTGACCAACAAGTAAAATATTGCTTTTTCCTGAATTATGAAATCACGAGGTAAATGATCCCTATAGGGTGTTTTTATATGAATACATTATACAACAACTCAATTACTATTTGAATGTGCTGTCAAAAGATTAACATTGAGTTTCTGTTCTTGCATTCTATAAGCATTTATTAAATTTGATTCATCTAATAATGTACTGCATAAGTATCAAATTTCCAAAACTTAATGGGATTATGAAATAGATTAAACGTTCGATACTAATTGGCCAATCGTACAAAAATCAAAATCCTCGGATAACAAAAGTAAACAGAGGGTCCCTTTTAATAGAGAAAAGGAATTTTTAAAGAGTTCCTTAAAAATAAAATATATTCGAAAGGTGGTATTGATGTTGATATTTTCTATATATTTGAACATTGTGATATTCCCTTGTGACATAGGGGCTTCTTCGATACTATTTTAGTCTCAATATCAAACCAATTCATAAAGCCACAGTTTATTTGTATGCCAGTCGATCACTAGATGTGCCGTATCGTTTATAATCAGGTACTATTTGAATTCAGGACAACAAACCGTTTGAAAAAAGATAATGACATAAAAACTTTCATCAGTATAAAAGCTACACATGGTTAGCAAAGAAGAGGAAATTTCATCAATACAATACTTTGTTATTGCTTACCATTGAATGACGAAAGGTGGAAAAATCGAGAGTAGTGCCAACTGGGGCTAAATTTCTTGGCAAATCGCAAAGCAAACGTGGCATTCTTTGCCCTGCAAATAAGATTAACTCAGTGTTTACTTGTCAATTATGTACGTTCAACATATTTTGCCATCGTCATTTCGGTTATGCAGTAAGCATTCTTTTTTAGTTTAAACATATTTTTTACATCTAAGCAAAATGAATGAGACACATATTAATCATTCTTATGAAGTTTCCTCCATAATACATATATAGATATATAACAATATTAGGAGCATCCAAGTAAAACGAACAAATCTATTGGATATTATACGAACTAAAGATTTAAAAAGAAAAGAAAAAGAAAGCAAAGATTCAGAAATCATATTATTCTGTGATGATGACTTAGATTTTAATGATTATGTCGACGATGATGATGGTCCATGCCAGTATCAATAACACTTAATGAAAATACAAGAAATCTATTTGACCTTTAAATAAAATTTTAAACATATATGAAAATGATGAGATTTCGTTGATTCAAAAGTTCTAAGTCTCCACCAATAATCTTTTAACATATTAAATAAATTGTTCGAAAAGCCAATTAAGACTCTTAAGTTAACTTTCTCTACATGTAGTGCATTTTGGATGTACGGAAAAGAAATGGTGACCACCCTCAATATCGAGATTCTTTTACACATGTTTGAATGACATTTTACAATAGGAAAGAAATGATCGTTTCATAATTGGTTAAATACATATATACGTCGGAAAAATGTATTTATCCATAAAGGTGTCACAAAAAATATATGTATACATGCATGTGTAACATAATAAGTAACCAATAGCACCGACATTTGAAACGTAAAACAGTAATTTTCATGACTTGGTTGCATTTTGTTGATAAAAGCTTTATCATACAGCTGCTTACAACTGTTCGTTTTGAGAACATACAAATTCTAACAAAGAAAAAAGTCTTTTTTAAATAAAATAACACTAAATGTAAAAAAAACGCCAAATGTTGAACATAAAATACCGACATAAAATTCTTTATTTGAGGTGTCTACAACATCTTGTATTATTCACGATGTCAAAAAAATACTAGTAAGTCATGGTATCTATAAAAAAGTTACTGAAACACAGAAGATTAAAGTTGGCCTGCTTCTCAAAATTTATTGCGTTTCATAATTCATGTTTAAGATGTTTCTGAATGATTCTATAGTGGCCACTATTGTCACCTTCTATAGCAACTATACTAGTACATATGAAAGTTAAACGGGGTGGCTTTGTCTAAAGTTTACTTTAAAAGACAGCATCAGTATATTTGAAGATAGGATTAAAAGTTCCAACCCTCCACGTTTTCCTATCCTGTTTACATTTTTTAAGAACGTTGGTTCGAATGGGGGAAAAATCGTTCTACTCAGGTAAGATTATCATTTACTCCTTATTTGGATTCTTTATTGCGTGTTAAAAATGTCCCCCTGAAATGTAACATTCTCCGATATTGTCCACAAGAAATTGCTACAGAGTGATCACTTGATTTGTAGTAAATAAATCGGCTTTGGTATTGTTATAATTGGCTTTGGTATTGATATATATTAGGATATGCCGAATCATGGATGTATTATATTGACATGACGAACCATGTTCATTCCATTAATGACATTAATACGGTACCAATTTTACAGTATTATATTCGCATTTCGACAATTAATTTATCTTCAGCGATACTCGAGGTCATAAAATTTGAAAATACAAAACCTAAAATAAACGTTGAAGGGCAGATACTATTAAAAAGGACTAAAAGAATATCCTAAACCGGGTAAGAAATCAGAGTTTTGTATATGCGTGGGATACATTCCTATATTTCAAATTATATCCTTAGTTTAATATCAGTAAATTTAAGATGATGAAAGATAATTTGATAAATGCGTTTTGAATAAACATACCAAGACATAAGACAAGGATGGGTTGAGTTGGACAATTGTTCCAAGTGTGTGTACACGAATGTACCAACATGAGGATTGGGTTCTCTGTACAATGATTGAGCAATCAGTTCAAGTGTTGGCCTAGATGGACTGATACCAGCTATTAACAAATACGATGCAATTCTCACTTCTTCAACCTCTTGATGGTCGAAGAAATACGGCAATAGCAAAACCCTAACCTGAAAAGGAATAACAGTAAATCAATCGCCAATAAATACCCATGCACATTATGCAACAAAGTGCGTTTCTCTCACTTCATTCATAATCAATTATGAAAGTAATCATTTTTGTTTCTAATTTAGTCAGGATATTGTCAAATTACATTAGATTATAAAAGTTCCGTTTAGGTAAAGTCGATATATCCCTTTTAACGTTTTACTGATATTTCCAATAATAAAAAATCTACTGTATTGTAATCAACTTACAGCTTCCGGTGAGTAAGCAGTTATTTTCCTTAAGCTGTAAATAGCTTGTGCACGTATAATTTGTGATTTTGATTTGTCTTCTAAAATAGATTTACTGTCAGAAATAAAATCAGGATATCCGGCGTTTCCAATAGTTTTTAAAGCCAGAATAAGGTCCTCAGGGTTCTGCGATTTCATCAATAATCTCACTTCCTACAAATGAAAACAAATAATAACTTGTATGATAACATACAAATTTCTCAGATTATTTTTCATTGTTTCCTAAAAATAATCCCCAATTAGAAGCAAAAGAGCAATTTTTAATTTTGTTGTACTGATGATTCAAAATGAGAGGCGAAAGATACAAAAGGGACATTCACACTCATAAGTCGAAAATAAACTGACAACGCCATGGCTAAAAAAGAAAAAGACAAACAGACAAACAATAGTACACAAAACACAACATAGAAAACTAAAGATTGAGCAAAACGAACCCCACCAAAAACTGGGGTGATCTCAGGTGCTCCGGAAGGGTAAGCAAATCCTGCTCAACATGTGGAACCCGTCGTGTTGCTCATAATAGTACAAACCCGGTAATAAGTCTAAATCGGTAAGTCACATTCGGGGAAAAGGGGACGGGATTGTAGTTATGACATTTGGAACATATCCGCTATCATCTGTGAAATGGATATTCCATCAACAGTTCAACAAACCAAAAGTCACATAAATGAAACCGACATTTTTCAGGATGTATGTTGCGTTTTAAACTTACTTTGAAATGCGAAACTTAATGGAGATATTTCTGTGGGACAACAACATATTATTTGTCTAGAAACATTTGGGTATTTAAAAATAGATGTCCATGAGTATTCACGTTAAGTTTTTAAATTCTAATTTGTATCAATGATCCCATTGCTTTAACTCATTCGGACAAGGTATCGGTGTCTGCATAAAAGAAGAAGGTTTACTTCAATGAAACAGCAACTCAACGATATAAAAAGCATATCTTGTGGTCCACATACGGTCTTCTACAATAGACAAATACCAAGCATACAATACGTCAACCACTAGATTCCCCAGAGTCTCTTAAATCATTATATTTGATATGTCTTTGCTGTGATATACTATCAATTCTAAAACCAATAAAACGTGGTTACATAGATGAACGGCTGAATATATTACTAGTACTGTGAGACAATATCGTCATACTAGAGACCTGTTTATTACTGTATTTGACAAATCCCCATTAATAAGAGTTTGCATAACGTCAAGCTAAAATTGGAATGGGAGAGTTAAATTCGATAATTTGCCTTGAAAGTGTTTTCAAGCTATCTGAGCATTAAAAACCTTGCAATCATTCTTTAAGGGCGCGGTTAAATTCTACCGATTACCTACGTTCACTTTTTTTCTATGTGACAGTTCCAATTTCCCAACCTTTATCCAAGTCGCCTAACTTACTAATTCATTGGGGTTTTTTTTTTCTCGTCCCGAATGTGCATGACATTTTTTTCACTAGAAACATCATCAATTATACGAGTTTTGAACTGACTTGGGTATACAATTCATATTTAAATGTACCAAGATAAATGTATCTTATATATATGATTTGAAATCAGCAAAATTCAAAAGCCCCATCAAAGTCATAACTGTTACAATGATTACCACACATACGAAATTTACTACGACAATATACCCAAACTGTTTATCGGTATAAGCAATAAACCCAAACTGTTTATCGGTATAAGTAACATATCCAAACCATTTATCGGTATAAGCTGATACGGATATACGGACGTTTACTACGATGTTTTTCGGTATAATTATATTTAAATTGCATGCATTACCTTTAAAATTTCCATTTTCAGTTTAGAGAAGACTGCAGAAGTTTGTTCCAGTTGATCTTGGACATCTGTGAGCTTAGATTGAAACTGAGAACGTACGTATTTCCTATTCTCCACATCCCGAAGTGCCTTTATCTGTTTTTCCTTCTGTAACAATTTTTTGTTCAGCTTGTCCTTTTCAACTCTAATCCTATCAGCAAAAGCGCCCAGACACATGTATGTGGATTGACGTAGGGGTTCTGTGTTCCAGACATATTTGTCACGCACCATTTCCTAGGGATAGAAAATGTTTTCAATTCATCAATTGGGATTAAAATAAGTATATCCCGCCGTACACCGACAATATATTACAACCTAGGAAAAAACACTCATAATTTAAAAAAAAGTAATAAGAAAGATAAAAAAAATCATGTATTTACATGTTTTTTGTCTTTTCTGTTGGTTGTCTTTTTTTGTTTTTTTTTTCTTTTGTGTGTGTGAAGAATCTTACAAAAATCATTCTAGGGAATAAATCAAATAATATTTGATAGTCGTCATTCTTAAATTGCGTCAGTCACTATACATTCAATTGTTAAAAGTAACTGTGCCTTCTTTTTTTAAAGATAATTTCATTGAAATAACGAAATTCAAACTTGAAAACATTATAAAATTACTCTATAATAATTAGATAGTTCAGTAAATTACATGAAAAGTTTGATTATATTGACACCTACCAACAGATATTTGGCAATATTGATATCGGGATAGGCCGTGACAGTGAAGGCATTGATGGCGACTGACATTCTTTCTGGTCGGGTTTTAGCCTTTCTGATGTAGTCAGACAAAACCTCAAAAGCTGCTGGCGTTCCAGTCATTGGTAAAATATCTAATAAAATTTCTCTGTAAAAGAATGAGCATATGTTGTTTTTTTTCTGTCTAAAATAAATCTAATAATTTAAATATGAAGATATGAAAAGGAGATCATTTATAAAAGCTATTATAGTTCTGTAAATTAGACCCGAAAATGGAAAAAAAAAGAATTAACATATGTTTTTTTTCTCTTTTCTCTCTGAAATGAATCTTATAATTTCAATACCAAGATATAAAAGGAGGTCATACATAAAAGCTTCAACAGTTCTGAGTAACACAACCCAGTTATTAGTTCCATGTTACCTTACCATTACAGTGTCCTATTCTACTTACCTCTTATAGTATTTGTCGGCATTAGCTGACTTATCAGTACCTTCTCCATATTCCTCCCAAACAGACCGTAAAATATCTGCGTCAGCTCGCCTTATTTCATCGGCCAACGTAAAAGTCACTGACGTCGCCTGTTGTTCGACTTCATCTTTTGAGTAAGCAACAATCATGTCCAGATACTTTGAAATCTGAATATAAAGTCATGTTATAGAGCTTGCCACAACTTTGGAAATTATAGATGACATCAATTTCAATATATGAAACTTATGGCGTACCATTTTTCCAGCTCAGCAGTGAATTACAAATAACTAAAAATCTTGACTTTAGCAACACGCTGGTGATTCTACAAAATTTACTTGCTTTAAGTAACTATAAAAATGATGGAACATAGAAATATACATGAATACAAAGTAAGACTAACTAATTGTTTGACTTCTGATGGTGTTCGTTTTGGTTTTTGATCTAAATATGGCTGCATAGTCAGTGGTTTCTCTGCCTGGTCCGGCATATCATCTACATCAGCTTGAAGTCCATTGGTATAAATCTGTGGATTACGTGGGCCGGCGATTGGATTTTGGATTTCTTCTTGGTTGATCAACACCAGTGTCTGACTATAATATTAGTAATGTAAAACACTCTGTAATGTTCGGTGTAGTAAAGTACTTGAACTTTAACCTTGTAAAATATTCTGTAAAATATTTTTCGAAACAAAATCTACAACCAATTTATATGCAACAATCTATTTTTTTCAGATTTGTTATGCAAATAGATGAATTGCATAATATTCTATAGCTTATGTGAACATAGCAAAATAATTGACATTTTCGTATGGATATTTAAAATAGCAAGGCCAAATTGTTACATCCGGACGTTTATAAAAGCAAGACTGAATATATATCAGGTTGTTAAAATGCTGTGAAAGAACAACTAAGAAGTTAAATTGCACAGATATCTTACTTTATATAAGTAGCAACATTTCCACCTTCGGCTGAATACGGTGTAAATACATGCTGGCTTTCTGCTATAGCACTTTGGATGAGGAACCTCCGTTTGTCTCCTTTCAGTACGTATCTGATCTGGGATGCTGATTTGAATGGTTCAGTCTTTTGAAAAAAAATCCCAATCATTTTATATGATAAAAAATTAGTGGCATTTTTGGTTTTTAGACACTTTTCCGAATGCATCATCAGAAAAACAAACAAAAAAATCAAAATAAAGACAGGCTCATATACAAACATTGAAAGTAGCATAACAATCAGAGAACACTAAAACTAAAGCTATGGGCTAAACATCCTACAACAAACACCGGAAAAATCTCTTGCGCCGTAATCAAAACCATATTGCTTTGCATCAAATACCACTCGAATAGCCTCGTAGTGAAATGAAATTGAGAATGGAAACGGGGAAAGCAAGCCAAAAATGAATCAAATTCGATAAGTTTCAATGTGAAAAAAACGTGAAGTAGTGAAAACAAAATAATGTCAAAAATTATGTCTTTTTCAAGTGCAACTGATAACGATACGATTGAACATTATGGATGTTGAGTAAATTGTTTGAAGTGATAATTCCAGATTAAGCTGAACATAATCATGACAGTTTATGTGACAATAATAAGATTTGAACATTAAGAGAAGAATTCTTCTATTCGCAATCTCTAATGTACAAATATCAAAATTTACAATTCTTGTATAAATATCAAGATTTAGAAACCTTACTGTATGTCTACGGATGATGGACACTCTATACAAATAAGACTGTACCACCATAACTATTTTTAATGAAGAAGAAGCTTGTGTGACATGGAATCGGTAAGTGTAAATATTTGAACATTCTATCAAAATAGCAAGCATTGAAAGGTATTGCTAAAAGTTTAAATCATACCTGTCACACTTAAAAAAACAAAGTTCATGAAACTGTTTACACCTTGGCTTTTTGGTGAATTGTTATTTCATTAGCAGTAAAACCATACCTCTTTTAATATTTTAGAATTGGCATTAAATTTCAATGCATTGGGTTAGATTTAGTGTATAAATAACGTTCCGTAATTCATTATTAACATTTCCATTATCTTAAAGCATCAACCATAAATATGTCGTTCCATTTTTATTAACATTTACAATAGAGTTTTTATATATAATAATTCAAACATTTTTAATAAAGATATTCATATCTCTCAATATTCAACAAAACCTATTAATTAATTAATTCATCTAAACATAGATTTGTTATATATATCCTGAGCGATCAATTACATATACATATCAAATCCCTTTTAAATTGTTCCCATTTCTAGGCATTAAAGCACATACTCTTTTATTTGGACACTTTGAACATGTCATAGCATCAAACATATATCTATATACATACCCTTTCATTTTCACACTGTGCACATTTCATTGCATTGAAATAAGACCTGGTATATACAGGACGATCCAGACAACGTTTATAGTTCTTGACTTTAGTCAGGTACATGTAATGTTGGCCATCATTGGGGATATCTGTTTCAAGATTGTATGTTGTTTCACAGTCACCAACAACACTTGGCTGAAAAAGGTGATACATTGAAGCAAATAACACTAAACAAAGTCTTACATCTCTGTAATGATACAGACAAGAAATTTCAAATGATTGATTGATTGATTTTTTTTTTGGGTGCTTAACGTCGCTTTCAGCATTATTGGCTTTATCAGTTTATATTGGAGGAGAAAGCTGGAGTGCCCGGAGACCGATCTTCAGCAGGAAAACTGGCTATCCCGATCAATTAAGATTGGAGTCTAACGAACTTACAACCTCAGTTTTGACAATTTTCAAATCAATGATATTCTCATTATGCTCATAAATTTGAAGTGCGTCAAGTCTTATCTTAACGAATATGAAAATGTCAAAAAAGGACACTCGAATGTTGCATATACATCAAATGGTTCTGAAGATCTTGTTACACAATCATAAAGCTGTACTGACACAAATGATAGTAAATTTGTGTGCCCCCTTCAGAAAAAAACAATTAAAAAAAGTATGCAAAAATCGGTGCTTGAATTTACATGATCATTTTAAATGAACAGAAAGATAGAATGGTACAAACCTCCATGACAGTATAGAAGTCTGTTGGGGAAAATCTATTACGATTAAGTTCCACCAAACGGTCTTTACTGCTGACTGACATCCTCTCCTCGAGATTCATTTCTAGTAAACTCAGTATACCTTTCTTTACATTTATGGACCAAGCATTGTCATCACTCTCACCCTTAATCTCTTGTACATGTCCTTTAATGTACCTGGTGTTTGAATAAGCATTAAAGTTGATGTATTAAAGCATATACATACATAAATACGCATTTTTACTTGTGTGTGTGTGTGAGGGAGAGAGAGAGAGAGAGGGCGGAGATATGAATGTCTTCAGAAACCGTTTTATATGTTTATTACTCGGCTTAGTCTCTGGAATATCGTTTCGATTTAACTCGTATCGTGCAAAAGCTCTTTGCTTTGCTTTGAAATTTTAATTTGTGCGGATTTAAATACAACCTTGCCACCGTGGAACAAAATTAAATAAAAAACCACTGGGAATTTTGTCATATATATATATATTTCTCTAATTCTTCGTCAATTTATCCCTTTCTGCACCCATTGTATAAACAAAATTTAATCAACGTGTGGTTCGTTTGATCTCAGTTCTTCATTGGTTTAAAATCCGATTATGACGTCGAATTTTCTTGCTTTCCTCTGAATTTCCTATTGTGACGGCATGAAAAAAGGCGACCATGCCTGATGACGTCACATAGAAAGAACACATCTTTTTGCAGATCATTCGAAAAGAAGGAATAAATTTGCCTGCGTATTGTTTGAAAATCATTAGAGAAACAGATTCCACCACCAAATCTCGTGTAATATGATATTTATCCACTCTCGACAGTTAAATTTTAAATATTTAAAACGCTCGGCGAGCCTCGCGTTTTATATTTAAAAATTTAACTGTCTCGAGTGGATAAATTTCGTATCACACTCGATGCAGTGGTAGAATCTATATATATTTATATATATATATATTAATAACATTTGTTGTTCGACCTGTTAGTCAAATGCGTTTTGTTAAAATATACTTTTTCACTGTTTTGGTCTTTTGGAAAATGTTGTTTGTGCTGTATTTAGACCCCTCTAACAAGAAATTTGTTTTGCATGCACACGTATAAAAATTGCGGTTTTTATCCAACGCAATCATAGGTTTGAACGTTGTTTTCAATTTAGACTTGTTTATATTTTTTCATTTCCATTCTCAATTTTATTTGGGCTTGTATTATATTTGTCTTCGGGTTTATATGATCCGTTCATCCTATTTTGACTCCTCAAAATTCAAGAGTCTATCCTAAATTGAGGTAAATTGTATGGTTTTCCAAATACCGTTTCGATTCCTAACATCACTGAAGAGACATTAATTGTCGAAATCCGGATATGGTGTACAAAAACCTTTGCACCTTTTGTATGCGGTATACCATCTTTTCCGCAAGTTTATTGTTTTCTGTTTAGTATTAAATTTATAATTAAGGTCCATTTATTACATCGGTGATCCGTTTATTTGGCAATCCCCAATGGCAGTCAGCAGGGTTCAAGAACATTTGTTGTTCGACCTGTTAGTCAAATGCGTTTTGTTAAAATATACTTTTTCGCTTTTTTGGTCTTTTGGAAAATGTTGTTTGTGCTGTATTTAGACCCCTCTAACAAGAAATTTGTTTTTCATGCACACGTATAGAAATTGCGGTTTTTATCCAACGCAATCATAGGTTTGAACGTTGTTTTCAATTTAGACTTGTATATATATATATATATTGGTACCAATGCAAGCCAGACCTCCCCCTCAGTCGACATTTGAGATCCCCTGGCCACACTAAGGCAGATCTCAATCGACTGACCATTACAATCATTGACCACAACACTGCTTGGTCTAGGAAGGATAGACTCACTCGGGAAAGATTTTGGATAAGAAAATTAAAAACTTTGGCACCAAATGGGATAAATGAAAAGATGTAGTTCGAATTCGCGCAGTGCTTTACATTTGGGTTATATTACTTATTACTACAGTCTCTGTTTCCATTTCTTTACCTTACTCAACTCTAATTTTTTTTTGTAATTATATCAGTTTTAACTGCTTGGTTCTATTCATTTTGGAGGGATGTAAAAGTACCCAGTCACGTTCAACTATTTAACCTTAGTCGAAATTTATTATTTTTTATTTTTATCTGCTATTTATTTGGGATGTTTAAATACGCAGCCTCTGTTGTAATTACTCTACCGTTGTCAAATTTGAAATATTTACAAACTTAGATCGGTCAGTGCTGTTTATTTGGAATGTTTATTCACGCAATCGTTCTTGTAACATCGTAACTGTCGTCACCTTTTAAATTTTAGAATTGTGCCAGTTCATATAGCACATTGCTATTTTATTTGAAGCATATCTTTGCAGTTTCTGTTGTAAATTGCTCTATAACCTATGTTTGTTTGTTTTTTAGAATTGTACAAGCGTCTAAACTATGATGATCGGTTTAACTGTTATATTGTATAAATTTCAAGATTGTTATAGTTTAATCAAAGTAGATTGATATGATTCATTTGACATCCATAATCATAATCATACTGATGAAGGATATCTGTTATCCGAAATATTTATAAATAATTACATTTATAGTTTTCTTGTTTTGTTATTGGTGTTGTTTTGTACACTTTTCAGGCGTTTATATAATTTATTTATTTTGTACATGTATCGTTACTCGTAACGATCCAGCGCCCTCGTGGGAAAGATCGTTGACTATTATTCAGACGTTTTATATATAGGTTTGAACGTTGTTTTCAATTTAGACTTGTTTATATTTTTTCGTTTGGGCTTGTATTATATTTGCCTTCGGGTTTATATGATCCGTTCATCCTATTTTGACTCTTTCAAAATTCAAGAGTCTATCCTAAATTGAGGTAAATTATATGGCCTTCCAAATACCGTTTCGATTCCTAACATCACTAAAGAGACATTAATTGTCGAAATCCGGATATGGTGTACAAATTTTTGCACCTCATGTTTGCGGTATACCATCTTATCCGCAAGTTTATTGTTTTCTGTTTGGTAATAAATTATTAATAAGATCAATTTTGTTACATCTTGTGATCCGTTTATTTGGCAATCGCCAATGGCAGTCCGCAGGGTTTAAGAACATCAGTTGTTCGACCTGCTAGGCAAATGCGTTTTGTTAAAATATACTTTTTCACTCATTTTGGTCTTTTGGAAAATGTTGTTTGTGCTGTATTTAGACCCCTCTACCAAGAAATTTGTTTTTCATGCACACGTATAAAAATTGCGGTTTTTATTCAACGCAATCATAGGTTTGAACGGTTCGAGTAAATACTACTAAATGAACCCGAATCTATGGTCTGCGATCACATTAGACTGCCCTGGATTTTGAAGTTTTCATAAAAGAAGAATGTGTTATAAGGTAATTCGTTTGAAATCTTGAATTAGAAATTCAAAAAGTGTCATAAATCTATTAAATGAAATACCTCAAGTATTAACAGAACATTTGTCGGTCAGTATCAGCATGTTTCTTTTTTTTATTTTGTCTTTCCTATTTTCTTTTAACCTTCAAATTTCTTGTATTTAAGGACTAAAGTAAAAACTGTAGAATAAAAAGCTACATGTTCAGATCAGGTCTCGGATTATCTATATATTAAGCAACAGCCTTGCCAAAGAGCAATGTTTCTAGAACATATTTGGTGTAAGGGGTTAGAATAAGTAATTCATTTATGACTTCCTGAAACGGAATAAGCATACAGAAATAGCTGTTGACGAACTTGATCTTATGGGGTTCCAAATTACATCTGGTAATTTTGGCGATTTTCATAAGTTTTAGTATCTTATCCAACTACTTACTTGAACGTCATAGATTTAATAAGATAGTCCATCATCCATGTAGCTTCTGGACCACTGAGTTCTTCATAAACAGAGAGTTGTTCCCTTGTAGGGTTCTCGTTTTCAACCAAGCCGTTTAGTTTATAAAGATAAACTTTATCCATCTAAAAAACATACACAATATGTATAACGGGGTATTTTATTTAGGGATTTCGAGATTTGTTTTATAGTAAACATTCAGTGTTTGGGTGTATAGTTAATCCACTTCCACCATTCAGTAAACATATATATGATTTTATATTGTTATTGCTGAGTTGTAAGAGATCAGTCTGTGAATGAGTAAAATATAGACATTATATCGCTGTAAAGTTAATTGATTGTACCAAGAAAGACCATGTATCAACATAATTAGATGGAATTGAAAACAATTGGAATTACGTGAACTCCTGGTGTGAGACAGCATGCGCCAACAGAATAAACATATCTTGCTCTGCATGCATAACCCTTCATATGATTCTTGTCATATTTAGTAATAAGTGTCAAAAACCAGTATATATGATAAAACCATAATAATGTCATATGGACCATAGTGGATGTATGGGATAAAGGTATAAAGTAACTAGTGAGTCCAGAATTAGTACCCTATATCCAATAATGACTTACAGTTGGAATATCAATACACAAAGCCCAACAAATATGATGAAAACTTAAAAAATAATCAAACATTTTAATAATATCTATTTCCGTGTATTGATTTTTGGTAGAAATGTGGTTCTTAAACAAGAAGTTTTTTTTTTACCTAGAAGTCGAAGCTGGTATATGACTTTTTTACCATTGTTATAAAAGAAACACTTGGATCAATTTTAAGTTGAACATTTAAATGGATGCTTCTGTTATTTAGGTATTCAATAAACGTTCTTTTTGTAGAATAATTTTTTTTGCTAATAAATAGGTTTCACGTCTTGTGTATATCAATTTTGAAACAAATAAATGCGTCTACGTCCATCTAAATAAAAACAAGGAGATGCGGTATGATTGCCAATGAGATAACAATTCGAATTAGGAGCTAATTTTTTTTTTCTAAAGAAACAGCCAAATATATTGCTTATCTAATGATAGAAACTCATCGGCCAAATTTCGCCCTGACATTTAATTTCTGTCCTTTTCATATACTTTGATGTTTTTAATATTTCAATTGTCTTTCCTATTGAAGTTACTTGTATAGCTTCATAATTGGCACATCAAAATTAGTTTCAGATTTATTGATCATGAATAATCAACCTACCTTCATAGTGACTCTGGAGACTGTTTGGAACTGGAAACGGACATCCGACTTGACTTTCAGCCCAGAATACAACTTGCTACCTCCCGGCATTCCAGTTGCCAACTGAGCTTCATATTCGTAGACATATTCTCTGTTTGGTGAAAATGCTGAAAATTTTACAATTAAAAAGAGCGAATAAAAAGTAAAAAAATGAAAATAACACTGTATTAATTTCGTGCGTCCGAAGTGCTTTTCTGGATTTACCTTCATCACGAACTGTCAAACTTAACTTTTGAAGTCCAAGGATGTACAAGACGTGAAGAGCAATATGACAAAAAGGGGCATAAGAAAATAGAAAAAATTCATCTAAGGTCAACTTTGCCTGAGATAGCTGAAACCTTAGTTTCTTGAAAATTTCTTGATTTATCGACGGAGAATATACAGAATGTATGTGAAAAACAATGTTCGTACCGAAGAACATGCTGCCGAGTTGATGAAACGGTGGGCGACTACCAGGCCACTAGCAGTTGTATCGACCCTGGGGTAATAAATGAACATAGCTCTTTATTTATTTTGTACGCGCAAAGCGTTTTCTGGGTATACCTTCATCATGAACGCTCAAACTATACTTTTTAAACCTAAGGATGTATAAGACCTAAACACGTCAAGCGCTGTATGACCAAAAGGAACCTACACATAGCGAAATTTGTCTCAGTAAGGTCAACTTTCTCTGAGGAGTTGGAACCTCAGTTTTTAATAATTTCTTAATCTTTCAAAGAGAATTTACGAAAAGTTTGTTAAAAATACATGTCTGTACCGAAGCATTGGCTACTGAGTTGATGATATCCTTGGGGACTAACAGTCCACCTACAAAATGAAACGTTAGTGACAGGATAATACTCGGGTCTAAAATGTCCAGAAAAAATATACAAGTATAATGTTATAATATAAATTGATTTCCTAACCTACCCATATAGCAAAGTTCATAAACTGCTGTATTGTAAGTCGAAGTATACCTTTAAAGTCTGCATGATACATTGCACGCCTATTCAATGAGAGTACAAAAGTTGTCTGGTACCAGAAATTATTCATGAAAAACCATGCACTCCGATTTTTACACCTGATTGTATCGAGTACATCACATCAAAGTCGTAGGGTATGCAGAACTCCTCTGACTCAACAGACATTAGGAGTGCCAAAAGTCAGGAAAGACACTAAATTATTATATATTTATTTGGCGTAAAAACTTATCACGAATGCAAAAATTGTTGGCCTCAATTCTCAAAGTCTCAAAATTGTGATTGATTTTATGTAAGTTTCACTAATCACCAATTTTAACAATGGACAAACACAAAAAAATTACATTAATAATTAACAATGCGAATCAAGCCCTGTGAGATTATTATTCAGATTTTGATAAAAATGTAAATTTTAGAATATTTTTGTTACATAACCGATAAACGATAGCATAGTTCTCTATGTGGGAGTTCTTATTTTTAGTTATATATTAAACCATTATCTATAAGATGATGCAGCGAGTACTTTCATTGTACCGAACTTTCACTCATCAAGGCATTTGGTAGATGACAATGGATTTGATTTGACCATTTTTCGTTTTTGGAATTTTTTTATTCGGACATTATTCATTGCATAATTTTTATTAACTCTCAAATATGTAATTGAAAATTAAAAATATCGAAATAATAGCATACCTTTATCTACGCTCCTTTGTGAATCTGAAAAGAAAAGAATGATTATTTTACTGCAATAATGACTTCACAGTTACATACTCTTTGCATCCTAGCACAACTTAAAAACATATGCTATTTTCGAAAATAAGATGAAAGTTTATTTGATATGCTATGTTACCCAAAATGATTGATTAATTAGTGGTTGCTTTACACCACATCAGATGTTTCCAAATAAATGTAATAAGTAATTTCAAATGCTCGTGTATTCATAGGTTTCTCTATATTCAACCAAGGATGTTTATAGTTTTTACTAATTATCATTAAAATCCTAGATTCATCTAAAACATTATGAAGCAATTTTTTTGTAATAACTTTCAGCGATATAATTTTTTTTTTCGTATAATAATCAAAATTAAGTATGATAACAGAACAAACTTACTTGTTAGTCCAAAGGCTAAAACGAAGAAAAACTTCCAGTCCATTTCGTCCGTTAAATGGTCCGTTTGATCTTATCTCTTATATTTATATGCCTCACCATCGTGTGAAATATTCATTTCACATGCGTTGTTTGCAATTCTTGTCACAACATTTCATGAGTGTTGCTAAAAACTTTTCCCGGTAAATATCATATAGTTTTGAACAAGGACATATTTGCGTCATCATAATTCAAGGACATTGTTCTTACAAACGGGTTTTAAGGAATAAACTTGACATAAAACCTTAGAAAAAATTGGACAGAAAGTTATAAATTTCATATCCAAATGTCCCTACATGTTAATAGACAAATGTACATTTAAGCCTCAATACTATTGTGAAAATTCAGGGTATTAAAACAAAATCAAATTATTGTATTGCATGTATCATTTTATGCCACAGAGAATTTATAAGGATATTTTGTGCTAGTCCTATTTTTCTCAGAATTTTGTTTATTCAAGACATTGATTCGTTTTGATATATTTGACAATTTTTATTGATGGAAAGAGTGCAGTTTCCTTTTCACACATGTTTATTCAATATTTGTTATCGTAGTATTATGTTCTCTGCAACTATGTATATGATATATGAGAATAAAGATCTATCATTCATTTATGAAATACTTTATCAATTATTAATTCCTATGTATTATATAGATATTTTTTTCATAACACAGTGGTTTATCGTGTTGTTATCAACAATGGAGAAGGTATCTTTCGGCTAAATGCATGGAAATCTAAGCTTTCTTCTTTACCATGGTTTGATTTGGATAAGCACAAACTTGTATCACTGTGATTTCATTTGGATAAGCAATTATATTTTTATAACTATTTTGATTTACATAGGCGCATAAAATTGTATCACTGTGTTTTATATAAGCACATTCTTGTCTCCTTGTGTTTTGATTTAGATAAGCATAAACTTGTGTCACTGTGTTTTATATAAGCACATTCTTGTCTCACTGTGTTTTGATTTAGATAAGCATAAACTTGTGTCACTGTGTTTTGATTTGGATAAGCACACTTTTGTTTCACCTCGGATCGATTCGGATACTTCTATTCTTGAAACACCATGCATTGATTTGGATAAGCACGTGTTTGTTTCTCTGAGTTTAATTTGGATAATAACATACTTGTCCAACGGTCCTAAAGTTCTAAAGATACATTCAGACGTCAGAGCAATCTGACTAGTATCGCCATGGTTTGATTAAGATAAGTACTTTCTTGTATCACCGTGGTTTGGTTTGCATACACACATGCTTGTATCACTTTGGTTGTATTTGGATATGTACATACTTGTATTACTGTGGTTTAATTTGGGTAAGCACATACTTGTATCAACATGGTTTTATCTGAATAATAAAATTGAGAATGGAAATGGGGAATATGTCAAAGAGACAACAACCCGACCAAAGAGCAGACAACAGCCGAAGGCCACCAATGGGTCTTCAACGCAGCGAGAAAATCCCGCACCCGGAGGTGGTCCTCAGCTGGCCCCTAAATAAAATTGTGTACTACATTGTAGTTCAGTGAAAATGGCACCAACTTCTATCACCATGGTTGATTTGAATAAGCATATACTTCTATCACTATGGTTTGATTTGGATAAGCACATACTAGTATCAACATTGTATGATTTGGATAAGCACATACTTGTATCACCATGGTTTGATTTGAATTAGCACATACTTGTATTAACATGGTTTGATTTGGATAAGCACATACTAGTATCACCATTGTATTATTTGGATAAGCACATACTTGTATAACCATGGTTTGATTTGAATCAGCACATACTTGTATCAACATGGTTTGATTTGGATAAGCACATACTAGTATCACCATTGTATGATTTGGATAAGCACATACTTGTATCACTATGGTTTGATTAGAATAACCACATAAACAAATATTGCAAAATCATTCTAGGTAGGAAAGTTTTTTTTATCATATTGTATTGTTGTGTTTCTGTCTTACCCATCGTCCCAAGTATCTCCTTTATTCATATAGGAATTATGCCGCTGGTTTCAGTTTTGGTTTTTTTTGCAATTTATTGTGCTCATTCTTTAGTGTGAATCGTTTTAACTTTATTTTTTTGTTTGTCCCACTTCGACTCATAGTTCACCACCTTCTCATAAATTCTTTATTTTAAGAATCTTTTGGTTGTTAAGTGGAGACGGTCTTCAGACGTTTTTCATGTTTAGGATCCTAATATTTTGGTCACAAGTGTACCTGATTGTATACCGTATGATTGTTGCTTATTGTTTACATCCTTGTCCGTAGGTTTTTGGTGAATTTGCAGTCATACCACATTCTTGTTTTATACTGATGACTATTATTCCAAAAAGTGAAAATGGCAAGCAGTATTTGAAATACACATTAAATATAAATGAGCAATGTCTAGTCAATTGCATTATTTAGAATTTGTTAATGTATGACAAATGTTGTGCCTTTACTGCAAATGAATATCATAGAATAAGTATTTAGGGGGAAATACCATGAGGGTAATCAAAGATCATAAGTTGAAGAAAGACACACAGCCCTTTGGTCAAAATGAAAAAAAATCGGAACAGAGAAACATACAACTGACCACTACATGCACGTTATCCAGAAAACCAAATTCGCCATCACGAACCCAAACAAAACCCAGTGGTGAACTTTGGTGCACAGGAAGGGCATCAAGAGCTGCTCCATTACTAACACCTGTACACAGATTATGTACAATAGTAAATTACATAACGTCTTAAAGGGGCATTAGCTACGAGATATAAAAAAAATTTTAAATGATTTTGTTTGTTCTATCATTAATGAAAGTGAAATAGTGAAATAATAATTCGCTTTTAGCAGCCAGTTTAGTTCATTTTTGTCAAAATAAGTTAAGAAACTTCGCTGATGAATTATTCACTTGCAAGTGAATAATTCGACCTCATTGAATCTGTATTCATGTGACTTTCAATTTAACCCATTAGCTAGAGATTGGTTACGTATGTATTAGTCGTGTTCATCCATTAAAAGGAAAAGAATGTCAACATTGAAAATGAAACAAAGGTGAACCATTTCGTTGGCTGATTCGATCCACAAAAAATCATTTTTATACTGGTAAAAACGATGAATAACTTATTATTTTAACCTATAACATGAAATCAAACAGACCTAGAAAAGTCCAATTGCACGAGGTTGCTATCTATTTATATTTATGTTTATATCAGGTTGTGTGACCGTCGGCAGTCTTCGGAGGTTACTCGAAGGTTAATTAGATGGCGTATAGACTAAAATACACACGAAATGTTGATATATATTATCGAGTCCATGCATTGTTAATTGTTAATTTCAGATTTATTGTGATTTGGATATACGTTTTAGTACGTTATAAATCAAATATGAGAATTTGAGTCAAATTGGTGAGCGTGAATTTGACAGCTAATGCCCCTTTAAGAGGCATAGTAAAGTGTTTTGTTTCGAGTTGACTATATTTTCAAAATGGTTGACAAAAATTTTTCATTTGTTGTTTTTATTTATAGGTCTTATGATTTCAATAGTCTTACCTGAAAACGAAAAGATATATAGTAAATGTAAATGAGACAATATAACGAGTAATTCTTTCGGGGTTTACAGGAATGGCCTTTACGATATTTCATATAACGAGTAATTCTTTCGGAGTTTACAAGAATGGCCTTTACTATATTTCATATTATGGTAAATATCAACACATTATAGCGAAACTAGGAAGATGAAGGTATAAAACTAATACATCAATGAACTTTTGGTTTCTTAGCAACAACACCAAAGGTTTTAAGACAATAATACGTTCCAAAAAGTTCACAAAAATATATACTTAGAATTTTTAAGTCATGGTGAAATCTTTTATCAGTAAAAGAGTCTGTCTACTAGAATTTAAAAACAGCACAAATTTTCTCCAACATTTATTTCTATACTGTTCCCAGGGGATGACACTTGATTCTTTACTCTCTATATAAAGACTGAAATGGTTTTCTGTATAGTAATCACGTTTCAGAGGATAATAAAATAATATCAGTTTCCAATTACAATAATTGAAGTTCTAGCTTTCACAAAGACGACAAAAGTCTGACAACGACGTAGAATTCCTTAACTGAACTAAAAACGAGACAGAGACACTTGTGGTAGATGAACAAAATTAAAGATACAATGAAAACGTACATTCAAATCAAACCAGACAGGACGTTCACTATTTTTTTATAGAGATTTGATAGAAATTCCTAGTCAATAACCAATGTAAATATCATTATTATTATACCTTTTTATCTTACTGTCGATTTTCTATATACTTGTCCATCATTTCATTTCTTGTTTTATTTGGCAACTATATCTTCCTTTTTGAACATTATTCATATTTTACAGTTTTGAAAGAATCCACACTGTGTAAGATAACTGTTGTAACATTTGAAATTGACCTGCCAGCTTACCTACGGAGAAGTTGGGATAGACTCAGTAACCAATAAAGTAAAAACATAATCCACACAGTGGAGTTGAAAACAAAAAAGTCCGCATAACGTTTTAAATCATTTTGAAATATTTTTCCGAGACGACATCCTTTTGGTTTTGATGCTCTCCAAAGTCACATATTTTTGATCATTTTTGGCTTTCCAAGTGTTCTCAAGCGTGTTTGGTGTAGGTTATTACAGAAACACGTGTTGTGGAGGGAAATGGGTGGTGATTTCTTAAATTGTCTGCACGGGTAGGTGTGCTTGATATTCATTTACTGCTTTGTTTTTTTTTCAATTTTGATTTTTTTTTTAATTTGATGTGCTAATTAGGAATATCGAACTTGAGGGTGCAGGTGAAGATTGTGTTCAGTGAGATGCAATAAAAAATAACAATTACATTGCTACTTTATAGGTCATTTGAGATGAATGAATAAAGGGTATTTTCTTTTCTATAATTTAAACATTATTACAATTACAGTCTTTAATATCAATTTAATGTGTGGTAAAGACTTAATCATTAAACTCGAAGCAGAGTCCCTGAAGAGCTCGCTTGAATTCTTGTATCTTCTTTTCCAGTTTCGATATTCTGTCAAGAACAGCATACAGATCTTGGATTTTATCCTGGATAGTTTTTCCCTGCTTCTCATAGATTTTAAATATGTGTTGTTCGATGAGAGTGCATGACCTGCTTGTCTGAAAAATAAGAAGAAAAAAACTTTGTTTTCAAATTTGCGTTAAAACAGCAGCTTTAAAAATACAGAAAATAAAAAACAACACATGCTACACTAAAACTTATTTTTATACTTTGATAGTCATTGTTGATTTTGATAGGTAGGTTTACAGAGGTCTTGAACTGCCTAAATGTTTGACATGCTAAACACATTTTGTTCAATCAGACATTTGCAATACATACATATATTAATATATTTCCATATTAAAGTCGAATTCATAAAATAATTACAAAACCAAACCAAGGTGAAGTTAACAAAAATTAGTTTAAATTCTAAATTTTAACACGTGTTACGATGCTGAACTGCTTCTTTATAACAACCCCACTGTTCCTACCATAAAAAAATTTCATGTTACTGGGAGTGAGTATTATGTAATCAACAATAACAGTCACATTTGGGGAAAAGTTTTAAACGACATGCAACAACATTTTTCATTAAAGAAACGGACTATTAGAAAAAAAAACACAAAAAATAAATAGGAATAAAAATGCAGTGTGTTTGAATCAAATCAAATCAAATACTGTATTGTCATATTAAGAAGATATGTAAGCGAACCGGTACTTATCAGATACGGATCCAGGATTTTAAAAAAGGGGACTGGGACCCCCAAACTAAAACGTTTGGAGTATGAAATTGTAAAGTCTAGGCATTAACCATATATATAGCCCCTGCCCCTCCTAAATCCACCTCTGCTGAAACAAAAACAAAATCCACAAGGCGTTTAGACGTCATTACAAAGTTTTGACCCTTTAATGACATCTTTGTTTTCCGTTTTTGCCATGATGTTTGCCTTCAACTTTAAAATTTTGATAGTCCCTTCAGCCTCCTTTTTATCCGTGGTGATACGCTAATAGTAAATAGAAGCTATTTTAGCAAATTTCAAATTTTGAAATAGATTGAATTTCTTAAACGGGAGGTCGGTGTCAAAGATGTTTAAATGTGCACCAACGAACCTCCAATTAGATCACGATCGAACCATGATAGATACTACGTTTGTTGATATGTATAGAACTGTCATTCTATTTTCATAATAATGTATATTTTAAATTACATGCAAAGTACATCAGTTCGGTATACTATTATCTGCATAAAACCTGTCCTTGCAATCCATTTTCAGTTTTATTTTCTATGCAACATTTTTGTGGGTGATCCTAAATGACATTGTTTTGAATTACGAAATCAAGAGTACAATACACAAACGATTCAAATCGAATGCATTTAAATTTTACAAATTCTACAATTAAGTGTTTTTGCTTTTCCCATATATATCGTAATAGTTCTATCATCAACTAAATACTTCCACCTTTTTTACGATATTTTGTATTTCATAAGTTTAAGGGTATCAAGGTGAAATGTGATCTTAAAAATGTATATCGAAAGTCGTTTTCGGTGTCCGCCTTCATCCACATCATTTGGACTCTGATCGACAGTTGTTTTTTTTTTAAATTATTGGTTAATTGTTTCGAACGCATCAAGATTATCAAGTGTTATTTCATTTACTACACTGTGTCGTTTCCAATGATGGTGGACTGTTAACCCCGAGTATATCATTAGCCCTGCTGTCTTTTTTCACTGGCAGAATTTATGATAAATATTCTTTGAATTTTCCGTTGATCAATTTATTAATTATTAATAAACTAAGGTTCCGATTCGCTCAGACAAAGTTTGGACCTTAGATGGTTTAGGTTATTCTTTTATGGTCCTCTTTGGTCATATAGCTCCTCAAGTAATTACACAGCCTAAGTTTCAATATTTTTCAAGTAGCGTTCACGTTGAAGCTAAATCCAGAAAGAGGCTTCCGACTCATTAAATTTATATGGTGTTATTTTCATTGTCGCTGTCACAGGCTATAAAATACGGAAAACAATTTATACGCAGGCAATATAAATGGGGAGTACAATAAACTACAATTACCTGTAACTCGCACGTCTTTTTGAAGTCCTCGATAATTTCCGAGTCCCTTTTTCTTTTAGCATTTAATGAATTAATCAATTCATCTGCAGAATGTGTTATTTCCTCTCGCGAAAACTCACAAGGAACCAGATCCTTTAGTGACGTCATTGCTTTATGTGCTGCGGCCAGTGATGCTAGATTCGAGGAATTTGAACAAATATTTTCCAACTCTCTACAACATAAAAATATAATTTATTTATTATGTTGTAACAATATATATAATTTTTAGTTCTAACTGAATCATAAATCTTTGTGGGATGTCAGGAATCTTAAATGTTGTCAAATTGTGAAAGTTTAAGACGTGAATAAGTTATATTTCATGCCAAGGACTACAGAAATCCTTGTTCGTGCTTAAAAAAATAAATATATAAAATGGCATAGTATTATAATTCAACTTGAGTAGCATTTATCTCCTCCTTCAAGCACCAAACCCTTGTTCATAATTTGTTCATTCTGAAAAGTTTATACAAATTATCATAGTCTCGTGGGATCATCATGTTAGTTTGGTTGATATTGATTCGGTTGGTTTAGTTTTGGTTCTTAATGCTATCATTTACATTATACACATATGGAGACGTGGAATGGTTGCCAATGAGACAACTTTCCACGAGAGACCATAGGACAAGGACTTATAATATAAATAAATCTAAGATCATACATTTTAGAATCAAGCTGTTTTACAAACTAAATTTAATTTTTCTATTGGTGGTAAGGTTATAGAATGTGTAAAAAGTTATCAATACTTAGGCTTGCTACTGACTGAATTTTTATATTATCAGTTAATGGCTAAAGCAGTAGCAAAGTCAGCCAGTAGAGCATTAGGATTGTTAATTGTGAAGAGTAAAACACATGTTGGTTTCCAGCACAATTTTTTTTCAAAACTGTACGATACAATGGTATGGTCGGTTATTAGTTAAGGTGCAGGTATTTGGGGAACCAAGGATTTTTCCTGCATAAATTCAGTTCAAAATAGGGCCATGAGATTTTTCATGGGAGTTGGCAAATACACACCAAATGCTGTCATAGCTGGTGACATGGGTTCGAAACCACCATGCGTTAAACAATGGTCAAGTGTCTTGAGACATTGGGCAAGGTGTTCCATAATGGACCCACACAGGATAAATTTTTAAATTTTTAAATGGTCCATACGAAAGTGCAATACTAGAATTAAGAATTGGAGCTTTAGAGTTATAGAGATGTTAAAATCGTATAATTATGAGCAATATTGTAATTTTGAATTAAATGTATTGAACAAAAATAGTATTAAACAAATTGAGGAAGATGTATTTAATAAGTTTAAGTCAAACTGGTGTACAAGAGTTGCTGCGTATGCAGAGGGAAGTAAATTGAGGACTTACAAATTGTTTAAAAATAATTATTGTACTGAAAATTATTTGAAAAATATTCTGTCAATTAAACACAGAAGTGGTTTTGCAAGATTTAGATGTGGGGTAGCTCTACTACAAATAGAAACTGGAAGGTATGAAAGAAAAGAAGTCCATGAGAGGACATGTTTTAACTGTAGCTCTACTATTGAAGATGAACCTCGTGTCATTTTAAAATGCCCATTGTATGTAGATTTAAGACAAATCATGATACATGAAGCTATACATTTTAATGAACGTTTTAACCTATTATCAGATAGCGAAAAATTTATATTTTTATTTAATAACGACAATGTTGCTGCTATAGTTGCCAAAACCTGCAACAATATTTTATTGAGAAGAAACAGTATTTTATTGAGAAGAAACAGTATTTTATTGAGAAGAAACAGTATTTTATTGAGAAGAAACAGTATTTTATTTCGCTAGTTCTTAAATTTTAAATGTAAATGTGTAAAAATATGTTTATATGTATATATTGTGTCTTAAAAGTCTCTCATAAATTTTTTTAAGATTGGTGCATACATTGCAAATGTTTTAAATGTTTTATGTTTATTTCTGTGAATCTTATTCTATGTTTGTATGGGGTGAGACTATAATAAAATATTGAATCTGAATCTGAATTGTAAAGCACCCTTCAATAATGAGCAAAACACTTACCGTATACTAAGTTACAAGAGGCCTGGCATGAAAATATGTTGAACAATTTTTGGTAAAGTAAGTTTCCACAGTCTAATGAGATAATTCTGAATTATTTAAAACAAAACTACATCAAAGGAACGGTAATTATAAGCAAATTTTCTATCAAATGGAATAAAGACGGATCTTTGCTGAGTTTAGCCATAAACTGTGATTTATAACAACACAGAAAACACGTAGGAGCGCAGTTCCTGTAAGAATATCTAGCATATTTACCTTCTTCATCACACAGAAGACGGTTTTATTGAGTTGCAGCAAATAAATTTGCAATCAGATTTTTTTGTCGACGGACACATTGTCTAAATACAAAAACTTCTGTTTAATAAGGTTGCGTGGAATTGTAGTGACGAGAGTCGAACATTCATAACTGTGTAACATTGATTGCTTGTAGTCTGTTAAAATAAATTAAATCAAACATTGTATACCCGAAAAGTTCGTTTTATCCAAGGTAAGTATTAGGCCTCTTGTTACACGAAAAATCAGATGTATTATTTATTACAATTCATCGAGTTACTGAGCTTGATATCAATGTTACTGTCTATTCCGTGACCAATTAAGTTTTCAACACGTGCATAGTTTGAAGTTTTTTCTTGAGTATTATCGTCTATATAGTCCCTGTTTGTATACAGAAAGCGAAACATACTCTGTTTGGTTTTGTGAATCATCAGCTTGGTCATTGTTTACATTAAGAACTTCCTTCTGGACATCATCATGTTTCCCGCAGGGATATTCTTTGGTGTTATTTGCTTCCATAGTCTGAAATGAAATATATGTTTAATCTGCAAGGTGAGGGTGAAGTGGTATAGTAGGGTGCCCAGTCAACAAATTTGATCGATTTGGGTTAACGGAATAACACACGGCTATATTTTATATCATCGGAAAGAGGAGAACAAGCCTCGTCGAAATATTGATGTCGTCGTTGTCTACAGTGGTCACGATTTTCTTAAATTTGGGTCAAAGTTCAAATCTAAAATTCCAAGGAAAACGTAGAGTCACGTTTAGAAAGCTGGCCACCCCTACATATTTGCGTTTATAGCAAAATAAATTCAAATAATTCAAAGGATTATAACTATAGTTTATATATTTAGGACTAATTTGATCATTTTATTGCCAAATATGGTTTGAGATTGACATTTGTATTTATAGGGTGCACACTTATAATTTTCTTTCAGCTGTTAAATAATAGTGACCTTGACCTTTTATATAATGATTAAAACAAAACTACATCAAAAAGGATGTTTTTTTTGTCTTCATGTTAGTTGTTTTTGTGCTTCATGCCGATTTGAAAAGTCAAGCCATTTCAAACTGTTTTTCAGCAGATTTTTCTTATGCTGTGTTGTTATACCATTGTCCAGGTCAGGGGAGGGTTGAAGGATCACAAACATGTTTAAACCCTCTAAATTCTGAATATGTCTGTCCAAAATCAGGAGCCTGCAATTAAGTGGTTGTCGTTGGTTGCTGTCTGTTGTATCTGGGTTTTTTTTGTTGCACGAACGGTGGTATATTTTAGTTGTCGTTCCCACCTAGTGGGATTTAGGTCGAAAACATCATACAAGACTTTTGATGTGCCATATTCCGGGTGTGAAACAAAACCGACCGATTTGATTCTTATACTACAATTATAACAAAATATTTATTCAATAAAAAGTTTAAAGTTTTGAAAAACAGACACAAAACAGATTTCTCCGAACAAAGTGACAATCTATAAAGTTAGCTGGCTATTCACAACAAATACATCAACCACACAACAAGCAAAAAAGACAAATGTTTTGAGTGACCGCTGTCCTTGTTAATAACCTAATAGTGTAAGCAACAAAATGATTAATGAATGAATGAATATTTTATTTGCAAAAGCATACATAACATGCTATGGCAATAAATAGACAAGTATATACAATGTTACAAAACGACATATAATTAATTCACAATACATGATCTTATTTTCCATGCATGTTTCAGATAACTACACAGTTTAATTGTAATTGATTTAGATTTTGCTTGAAGCAAATGAAAAATTTTAAAAGTATTTGGCCAAGAACAATAATATTTTGGCAAATATTCTAGTCTCACAGTTCTGTAGGCTGGACATACAAGTACGAAGTGGTACTCATTTTCAACACAACCCATATTGCAGCATTCACATAGACGCATATGTCTAGGGATATTTTTATATCTACCTAATTCCAAGTTCAATTTCAAAGTACCACTTCTCAATTTTGTAAGTAAATTACTATTAATAAAAAAAAATCCAAATAATTCTCAATTACAAAGTCTGTTTTGAGGTGTTTATAAATACACAGTTTTTCACAATCATGTAATGATGCATACCAAGTTAGTAAATACTGGTTCTTTATACGAGTTTTTATAACATCTAGCTGTATATTTATACAATTCTGTGCAGTCCAAACATAGTTTATACCAAGATTAAACAATAAATCACGAACACTAGACGCCCAGTTCTTTTTACCATTGTTTGCATCTTCTAATAAAAGTTGATAAACATCATAAACAATAGGTGGCTTATTTACCATTATATGAAGCCAATATTTCAAAATAATTTGCTTTCTTGAGATAAACATAGGCAAATGACCTAGTTCACCACATAAAAAACGTAAAAGAACATTTTTACCTAGTTTTAAAACAAATCTACAGAAACGGTTGTGTATTTGCTCTACACCATTTGCACGGTGAAAACCCCATATTTCAGATGCATTGTTTAATACGGAACCAACCATACTATCAAAAAGTAGACATTGTTGACTTGCGGATAAGAACACATGTTTTAAAGAGTTGAGAAGTGATGAAAGCGCTCTCGATCCCTGTTGGGATAATCTTTTTTTTGGGTATGTAAGAATTGTCCATTATTATGAAGTAGCATACCCAAATACACGTAAGAGTCCACTATTTGCAGTTCTTTACCGTCATACACGAAAGTATAGTTAGCTGGCTGCCATCCATTTCTAAAAACCACAATTTTGGTTTTGTCTGTATTTACCTCGATATTCCATTTTTTACAATAGATTGATAGATTATCTAATAACTTTTGTAACATTTCGGGAGACTTACTTAAAAAAAACAGTGTCACCCGCAAAAAGAATTAGGTATAATAGAAAACCATTTAGTTGTACAACGTCATCACTAGCATTTACGGACATGTCTTCGATTATATCATTGATGAAGAACAAAAATAATAATGGAGACAATGGGTCCCCTTGTTTCACACCGAGTAAATTGTTAATTGCGTCCGAAAGTAAACCTCCAGATCTTACTCGTAGACGGACAGACGAATAAATAGATTTTATCATATTAACAAATTTGCTACTGACACCATTTTGTAGAAGTTTGTATATTAAGATCCTTCTGCTGAGTTTATCAAATGTTTTACGGAAATCTACAAAGGTACAAAACAGTTTGGCACGAGATAATCCGTGTTTAATCAATACCAAAATGTTGACTTAATTTGTGTTTTTAATTGCTGGTTTCTTCAAAACGATTTTTATTTCACGCATGCAATTTGGCACACACATGCACTGTGTCTTATTGCTTAAATCAGAGTAAAAGATATTGTGATGATACACGTAATAATTTTGCTTTCGATGAAAATAGGGTAAATTTCGGGTAAAATTTTACTCTTACTAAAATGCTGAAATACTTATATCAAAATCTCTTAAATACTTTCCGATTTCGTTATATGATATATTTAATATATAAACTATATTATAGCTACTGTTTTAACTACCAACAAAGAACGCAATAATTTTATTTTTCATGTTAAAGATTCCCCGTACAATACGGTATCTGGTGGTACCCTGTAAAAACACGAAATTTAGAAAATCGTGACCACGGGAACTTACGACGACAATCATGATTGTAAAATATAATGATTTTCTAATAATGTGTAAAAAAATCAGCCGTGTGTTATCCGTTAACTTAAACTCGTTAACTAGAGGACTTTTTGGACATTGGGTACCCTACTAGTAGATCAATGATTTAAACTGGAGCTCGGATAAGAAAATAGTTTTTTAACTTGGTAAGCAAAACAGGACATGTCCTAGAGCTTTTTGAAATAACAAGACTTCGTATATGACTCGTAATTGCTGTCCTGCTAATTTGACATATGCGAGGTCTCAAAGTATACAAACCGAATAGGTGCACGATCTCTTAGTAGCGTGTTCGCCTGGAGTGTGAGAGGTTGTGGATCCTATCCCCGACTGGGTCATACCAAAGACTTTAAATCTGGTAGTTGTCGTCAAGTACTAAGGCTGGTCGGGTCGGATTCAGAACTAATAATGTGTATAAATTTGGTGTTATGTCTTCCTACAAGCTATAAATTACCACGTTTAATATCCGACTTCGCGTATCGGTCTCGGTGGCGGATCCAGGCGAGATTTCAAGAAGGTTGGAACCCCTTCCCCTCTTTTTGTTTGGCAACTAATGCATTTGTATGGGTACATTTGGTTAGAAACCCCCCTTTTTATATGACTTGCATGTGTTGGAATCCCCTTTTAAAAATGGCTGGATCCGCGCCTGGGTCTTATAAAAGGCAGTATATATAGGGTCTATACCGCTGCTGGTGTACTATTAGCTTGGCTTTCAAATATTCGGCTTTGAGCGTTCCTGACGAAGAAAAATCCAGAAAATCGCTTAGTATACGCAAATGTTCCTAAGTTGTCAATTTTGTTAAATTTTTACACCAGTAATTTTAGATTCAGAATGTGTTCTCGATTTATATATGTTTTTTTTTAAATTCCAATCAATAGGTATTTTGGTGGGCATTTGTGTAAATGGTGGGAAACCAATATTTTTTACATAGAGAATATTATATATTTAAATATTTGATAACATCCCACTACAAGAAGATGCCGCTCAAAATTTGTGATGTATTTACAAAAAGTTAGTTTTTACCTAAGTATTTTCCCAAAATAATGAGCCGAAAATAATTAATGCACAAAATTGTGCAAAAGTTCAGTGGCCTCCTACCTATACTTTTGGATTTTTTTTTGCGCTTACTCAAATTGCTGACTGACAGACAGACGCATGGACAAAGGGAAAACGGGGCCCTAATAATAAGCTCTGGTATTTGATACATTCATTATAGAGTCCTGCAAATGACATGAACCATATTTTTTCATTTATATCCCCCAGAAAAATGTGGTGCACAGCTTATTTTTTCGTCATGTGTTCATGCAAGCTTCATTCCACACCCGAGATGAACTTTTAAAGCTTCAGTCTACACCCGAAATAATCTTTTAAATAGTCTTTCGTACACAATCATGGTTGATGATAAAAGATATGTTATTGGATTTATATTTTGTTGTCTTTAAACTGTTGCTTTTACTAATAGTGGAGCAAGTTTCAAATTTGAAAAAATAAAAAGCAAATACACAATTTTATAATTTCCCCCAGAACGACTGAGACACCAAGATATGCTACATCGGAAGTTTGATTTAAATTCTATATTTCAGAACTTCAAGTAACCCGAATAATGTCGGTCGATATATTTCGCCGATCTCCGACTAATCTCCGATTGCTACATTAACCTTGATAGGATATAGGCCGCTAGAGGGCGCAGAATTATTCGAGTTAAACTTCAAGTAACATTTTGAATCAAAGTACTGAAGTACTGAACATCGGATGACCGCAAGTTCTTGTGGCTGGTCAAAAGCACTTGTCACAGAAAAAAATCACATCTCTATACCTGAAACTGAGGTTAATGTACAGAGATATATATTTTTTCTGAGACAAGTTCGTGCGTG